ATATATATATATATATATAATGTGTGTGCCTTTTCCCTTTCCGTCGATTCCTGCAGATCTGGGACCTCGAGAACAAGAATGTGCTGGATGACATCCACCCAGACGAGCCAATCAAGAGTGGTATTCCATGGTGCACTTCACTTAACTGGTCGTATGATGGCCACACTCTGTTTGTTGGAACAACGAGTGGCGATATTTACGTGTACGAGATTGCAGAGGAATAAACTGTCCCATAACCCTTGCACAGCCGTGCATTGGCCTCAGCTAGTGCTTGGCTTCATTCGACAAGGGACGGGAATACCACATGGAACATTGATTGTGGAGTGTTGGGGGGGGAGTTGGCAGGGCCAAACAACCCAAAACTTTGCCGTATTTTAGCGAGCAAAGAAGTAAATAGGTCGCACCGAGGGTGGGAATAAGTTGGATGGAAAAGATATCCGGTGCAATTGTAGTTGTAGGACAATGTGAAGCCACGCATAAGTAGGATAGCTACGTACTTTCCAGTTGCTAAACCCCTATCTCACCGACTTACCGCTACTGGTGTCGAATGCGACAGATGATCAAACTTCACACGAAGGCATGGTGGTAGTCGAGATAAACACTGGTGTATCTCGCTTGTATTTCGTGGTACAGTGACTGCTCCCTAAGCTCTGGCAAGCACCGGGGGGACTGGCCTTAAGTACTGCAGGGCTCTGAGGTTTGGCGTAAAACGAAAACACCTATGTGCGTGAAGGGGCCTTGTATATGCTGCAGAAGGAGGGGGTGTCAACCAACCTGTTTTGCACGAGGCAGTGGAACCCCGGCACGCTTCTGAGTCGTCGTTTTCTGGTGTTTTGCAGCATAAGATACTGCACAAACTGCTTGTATTCATTCATTCCTATACTACTGTAACGCTTAGATATCCTGAAAGTCATTCAACTGGCAGGTTGGAAGAGTACTATGTAGCAGGTGCTTGCGCTGCGCTTTCGGTGGTCAGGGCTGGTCAACCACGTGGCGGCAGCCTGCCGGTCACACGCTTTGGAGTTCATGTCCACAAATTGCAGTAAATGTTTCCCAGTTAATTGGAGTTCAAAAATTTCGCTGCAGGGTGAAGCCTATGTGCACAATAACTACACCACATTGTGTGATCCAAGCAGAGTACCGTGGCGGCATCTGAACACCGTCGTCTTCCGCTGCAGCTTCCCGCTCCTTTGCTCTTACACCTTTAGTGTAAGCCTAAATAGTTAAAATACCCACTTTCACTACAGCAAGATGTCAGGGTCGAAGGTTTTCACTGGACAATAGAGGTCGCAGAGGTCCCTACTCCCCAAGGTCACTTGACCAGCTAACTCCACCAACGATAGCAGACCCTACAGCGCGTGTATGCACCCATCGCAGTTTCCTTCTTAGCCATGTCGCCTTCTTGTGCTACGCTGGACTCGGGCATCGGACACCGCAAGACCCTGCCCAAGGGCCGTTCACAGACCAGCCCGTATAGCAAACCTGAGGCATCCAAGGGAACATCATCTGGGGGGCTTGCTGGTGTCGTCGCTGGAGAATCAGCTATCTGCACGGTTGCATTGGGGAGCGGTAAGGGAGCACTTCTCGTTCTCGTCTTCACTCCTACAACTGCAGCTGCCCCAACGCCAAGAAAGTGCGGATGGGTTAGTACTTTCCCCAGAAACAGGCCTTAGTGGCATTTTTGAGGAGTAAGGCAGTGTTCTGATCTACTTTTCCTGCAAAGGACTGAATTATCGAGGATACAATGTTGTGGACTTGGCCCGAGAAGCAACTTTCGAGGAGGTGGTGCACTTGTTGCTGCTTGGAGACCTACCAAATCACCAGCAGCTAGCAAGCCTCAAGCATAAGCTTTTCAGGGCGAGGCAGCTACCACCTCAGCTGCTCGCGGTCCTAAGACAAATACCGAAGGAAGCTCATCCGATGGTAGGAGATACTCGCAGGAAGCACTCTTCAAGAGTTCCAGCCTTTGAGTAGTGGAAGGTGCAAGAACAACTGAAGCAGGCGCAACGACCACAGAAGACGTTTACGTAGAAGTTCCTTAACATACGCTTTGTTTGCTTTTCTACGCTGCAGGACGTCTTGAGGACAGCCTGTTCCTTCATGGGAACTGTACACCCGGAATGCAATCCGTCTCAACAACAAGTCGACGTGCGTTAGGTTACATAACCAATCCCCATATATCCGCTTTTCTCAATCTTAATTAGTCACAGCACTGTTATCAGGGTCACGGACCACTGATACAACAGACGCGTGCAAGCGATAGCATGAAGGAAGCCGAGAAACATAATCAACGACAGCAGCAGCAAAGCAGCGAAGCAAAGCAGGTTGGTTCTTGTCCTGGGTTCCTGCAGATTGCAATTCGTCTCATTGGTGGTTTCGGGGGCGCCTTGAACTATTGGCATCACTTCGCCAACTCGGGCAAGGAAATATCACTTGTTTCTGATCCTGAGGACTCCGTTGCCATGAACTTCCTGAAACTAATGAACGGGGACCCGGCATTCAAGGTAAAATAGGCCGAAGAGCGGAGCAGTGGAACTTGGCGCTGACAAAAGACCACATACGGGTCTTGGGGCTTTGCACCCTCCCCACTGGTGTCATTTGATGTGTACTCAGCCCCACCCGGTTGTGGCAAAGACACTGGACGTATCGCTTATCCTCTACGCAGAGCATGACTTCAACGGTGAGGGCCGCACTTCCTCTCCGTCAGCACGGTTTTCGCTTTGCTGTTTCACAGTCTTGTTAATTGCTTTATGCATAGGAACGGCAATCATTCCCACTGGCACAGCCTCCTTAAAGCGTTGTTTTTGCTGAGCCCTGTCGCGTTGCTTAATTCCTCCTGCTTGCTGTTGCCGCTGCTGCTGTTATGGCAGCATCAACCTTCGCGTGCCGCGTGACTGCTGGCACCCGCAGCGATATGTATAGCTGCATATGCTCGGGAATAGGGACACTGAAGGGGCCCTTGCATGGGGGAGCAAATCAAGCAGCTCTGGAGATGATGCTTCCTTTGACTTCCACTGAGAAAGCAAAGCAAAGGGTAAAAAGATGGCCACTGTAGCATATGCTCTCCCTTTTGTCAGCTGGTGCTGCCCCTATTGCTGCTGCTGGTATGCACCGGTGTTGCGACCCTGTAGGTGTTCTGGGCAGTAGCCTTTAGTCGCACTTCTTGCCAATTAACGGTGTTGTCCTGCAGCTGGAGGAAGCCTTCGCTCGCCGGGAGCTCATCATGGGCTTTGGGCACCGAATGTACAAACAAGGAGACCCAAGAGCTCCTTTGATGCGCCGGCTGGCTGAAGCCCTGGCGGCCGCACGGTTGCCCGATTCCGACCCTGAGTTGGTGCGAATTGGGGCTTTTATTGAGGAGCATATGCTCACGAGGAAAAATATGCATGCAAACGTCGACTTCTCCGCAGCGATTGCCTATAAACAGTCAGACGAATGAATACTGCTGCTGCTTTTGACGCACCGCTGGCTGCTTCTCAGCTTGTTTAGTTGTCTCTCAATTCGTATTTTGCTGGCAGCTGTTCATTGGCTGCTGTTGTTGCTGCTGCTGTAGGTGCGGAGTGCCCATTGGGTTCTTCACTCCTCTGTTCGCCATTGCGAGGACCGCTGGCTGGGCGGCCCATGTGCTGGAGCAGCGCGCTGCTAACAAGTTAATTCGACCGACATCTAAATACAATGGCCCAAGACCGCGGCCATTCTTGCCCATGGACCGTCGGGGACACACAGCTAAGCTGTAAGCGGACGATGGGGGGCGAAGCCGATAATGGACATCCAAAGCTGTGCTCCCTGCGATGTTGTAGAGGGGAGCACAGTCTGTAGAACGCGTTGCCCCAAAGGATACGGATGCAGGCTACAGCGCTCCTGGAGCTGTGTTGCGGCTCCAACAGGACTACGCCAACACGTAAAGCTCCTAAAACTCTATTTGTTGGCGCTGTGCAGTAGCTAGTCATCTACGTTGGATCTAGAGCACCGCTGGGTCGCCGGGGGACAGCTACCACGGTTGCGCGCCAGCCCTGTCACTTCCCATTCTGCGAAAGCTTTCGAGTCATCTAGAGTTAAGCGGGCTCCTCTCCGGATCCCAGTTTCTCTGACCAAAAACTTTAGGGTCAAATGGCTGCAGACGGCGTGCGCAGTCTCAAGTGTACATACACTGACAACTCTACGCACTGCCGTCAGGCAATACACGCGGTGCAAAAACACAACACCCTCGCGGCCAACTAACCAACCTCATCGGCACGACCCCCAGCTGCTCCTGTCCCCTACCAACCTGCCTCTGCTTGCTCGTTTCTCTATGTCAACAACTCTTGGGAGAGCCTACTAACAAGTGAAGCCACACGCGGACAAACCCGCAGGCACACCCTCAAAGCTAGCGATATCGCTGCCCGGGTGTCTTGGCTGTAGCAGAAGTTGCTGTTACTGTTACTGTTGCTGCTGAAGCCGAAAGGCGTCCGCCCCCATTTACACTGCAGCAGCACTTGCAAGTGTCTATTCAGCAGACTCCCAAGGGCCTTAATATAACGCGGCAGCTGCAGTCATATTGAAGCAACTGGGTCTAACTCGGCAGGTGACGCAAAATGACCGGCTAAGGAGATGCTGCAGTACATCTACAGCTGCATCACTGTTTCGGTGGGAAAAAGAGTTTTGGCTTCTTCTCCTTCTTCGCCTTTTCCTTCTTCGCCTGCGCCTCCTGGGCGGCCAATTTCTTCGCCAACTCCTTGCTGTTCGCGGGGCTCTTCTTCGCTGCCGCTGCCGCCTTCAGGCGAGCCGCGATTTTGGCGGGGTCTTCAGGAGCGGCCTGCAGCAGCAACAGAGCCCGCAGCGAACGCTTCAAATAGTACCACTGAAAGAAGGCACCGATTGCAGCACTCAGAGCAATGTTGTGTGCGGTACTTACTGGGGTATCTGCATTGTCATCAGTTTCAGATTCACGCTGCTGCTGCTGCAGCTGCTGCTGCTGCTGATGAGCCTTTTTTTTCTTCTTTTTCTCGCTAGAACCTCCTCCTGTCTTCGGCTGTTGCTGTTGTGGCTGCTGCTGCGGCTGCTGCTGCGGCTGTGGCTTTGGCTCCGCGGGCACAGACGGGGTCACTGCAGCAGCAATACAGGAGCAAAGCACGGCCACTTGCCTCGTCTCCCTACAAGCCACTCGTGCAAGCTGAAGCTATGCAAGGACCATCGTAGCATCAGAACCAGCAGCCAAACTAGCAGCAATAGACACAGGGTAAGGGAGAACAACGACTTACGGCCCGCCTCGCTCAGAGCCTTCTCCAGCTCTTCCATCTCGCGTTGTTTCCTCTCCTTCCTGCTAAGGCCTTTCAGGGGGTCGGCAGCAGCAGCCCCGCCTGCACCTGTCGCAGCACAAAACAAACTCCCATGACCCCATGCTGCTGTTGTTGCTGCCTCAGGCCATCGCACCCTTTGGCTTTCTCTGAACCCTCGAGACACGTCGTGACATGAACTTCACGCTACCGAGACCCTAACTGCACAAAAAGTTGCCTGCTGACGGCACAAGCAACAAGAAGCAAAGAAGACACGCATACATACACCCCTAACCCTCACCTTTGGCTTTTCGTCTGCCCTCCGACGGGGATCGAGTTGGCTGCTCTCTGCTTGTTGCCCTGTCCTCCTCGCCGCTGCTGCTGCTGCTGGTGGCGGCCAAGTCGTCTCCTTGGGGGTCACCCTCAACATCACTGGCGAAGTCATCCTCCGAAGAAGTCTCCACGTCCGAGTAAAAGGCGTCCCTTGGGTGCTGTTGCGACCTGCGCCCCGCAGTCCCTCCCCCCGAAGCCATGGAACGGTGGGGCATCGTTACTGCTAACGGCCCATCATCGTCCGAGTCAACCTCGACATCAGCCCAACGTGCCCCCTGCAAGAGGGAGGCGGCACCGGGGGAGAGCTGGGCCCTTACAGCAGCTGCAGCCGCCGCTGTAGCTGCTGCTGAAGCAGCCGCGGCTGAGGCGGCCGCTGCAGCCTTTTCCTCCCGACGCTCACGACGACGTCGCTCCCTCTCCGCCTGCCTCTCCAACCTTCGCTGTACGGCGTCTTCTTCCTTAAGTACCTCGTACGGGTTTGCGAGCGCGACCTTATCACCAATGCCGCTCGCCATTATTCCACTTTGCTCCTGGTGCTGCTGCTGTTGCGGGGGGAGAAGCGCGTCTGGCGAACTCCTCGGGCCAGGGGGCCCCAGCGAACTGGCACTGACGGGCGGATCTGCTGCGCTGACCCACCACAGCTCGTAGGCACTTGTCCTAGCGTGGCTTTCTCTTGCAAGGTAGAAATCACACCAAAAATACGTCGGGACGGGGTGTCTGTACAGCGGGCAGAACACGGCGGCACTCCACCGTCAAGAAGCCCGACAAAAATCCAGCAGGCGGTCCAAAGACGTCAGAACTCGAGGGAAGCACTACTGTAGTGTCTGGATGACTACATGTCCTGTAGTTTATCCAAGAAGGCTCAGTACGCCGTCTGAACGCCACAGGGGCCCCCAAACCTGCTGCCCGAGTCGAAGCCTCCAGCACTTACCCTTTCCTGGCTGCGTTTGAGAAAGAGACAGAATTGAGATCAACAGGAAACGGAAAAAGAAAATGACGCTATGAGTACAGGGGCAAAGAGCGAAATTCACACACTGCAACGAAGCAACTGCAGAGCGCCCTGGACGGCAGCACAATGTACAACACTGCAAGATTGCGCTGAGGAGTTGCTGTAGAAAAGAAGGCCAGAGCTCTAAAGAAGGCACAAAATAATGGTGATTCTGACGGAATTCATAGATAATAGCAAAACAAAAGCTGTAGCTACACCTAAAGCCATCTACAGCGGCCGCTGCTGCGGCGGCGCTCTCGGGCGCTGTGGGGCACCGAGACTTCCAGCTGCAACGCGTATTCAGTTCGTTGTTTTTCCCGTTTTAGCTCATTATACGCCGAGGCAAATCCATGTTTTCTTTATTAATTGTACGAAAATAGAAACGCTCTCCCAGGTAAGCGGACTGCACATACGTTGCAGAGCCCCGCGGCGCCTCCGTTACACGTGTGCCATACATGGGGGTCGCTACCTTTTGCTGTTCAACAACGAGCAGAAATCCGTCTTTCGCAAAGAACTTTAGGCAGTTCATAGAAAGTGACTCCACTTAGTTTAATTCTAGTTGAAAGGATGCGCAGATTCAGGGGTGACGGGTACCCACGTGGGTATAGCAGGTGGAGTTGAGCGGCGTTAAGGATGGTTGGAAGCCACTATTTCGAGGCTACACACAGTGTAAGCATGAATGAACGCATGCATACATGCATGGATACGCCATATCTATACGACAATTGCACTGTCATCTGTTAGAGCTAGGAGCTAGTCATCAGCCACAATTCCTCAACACAAGATGTGCGGCGATCATCGTGACGTTGACCTGGTTGAAATTACAGCCTTTTTGCGTTCCGTTCCCAAATGCTGCGCCGAGGAGGAGCGGTTTACCCGGCTATGGCTCCATACGTAGAGACACAAAGAGCTATTACTTCCATACACGCCAGGCACTGTCTCTCCCCCAGGCGGTAAATTGATTAGTGTTGCCTCTACTCTCCTGCCAGTTGTTTCATGTGCGTGTGACTACTCGGGGGTAGCCAACACGATTTCGGCTGTGTAGAGGCCCTGCGAACTGAACGTCATGTGTGTGCAAGGCTATATAGCATCTACATTTGTTCTAAAATTGGGTGAATGTACAACCCAACACGACCACCTCAATTCATTATCGGACTGCAGGTGAGGGAACTAGCTACAAGGTATTGCAGCGAAGACTACGGATCTGTGTGCTCCTTTCAACCCTACAGGGTCAACTGGAACATTTTCCCCCGTTGTCTGGGGAGTTTGTGCAGCGTTCGCATCGAAGAGGAATTGAAACAGAGGGTTAGCTGCCGTTATTGCATGCTTCTTAGTCGACCCTGGGTGAACACTGAACAGTCCCCAACCTCCTACACGCTTGTACCTGGCTAGTTGTGGGTACCGGTGGTGGCAAACTCACCTCTACCACTACTTCCGTTTGTGTTGTGCTTGTGCATTGTCTCACCCCTAGCTACTTCGAACAACGGCACTACGCTACACGGTCCTACCCCTTCAAAGAGCTCGCTGCAAGCAGCCCAGTGGGAGGGCTGGCACCTGCGGAACTCCCTTCGCTGATAAACAGACTCTTACTTGCTTCCGCGGAATGTCGATGAGAGGCAAAACCAGAACGCCTCGCCCAGTCTCCTAGAGGCGCCTCAAACTCAGGACGGTCCTGTTTGGCGCACAGCACGCGCTGCGGCTCGACACTGCAAGCTGCCCAGCCAAGCTACGTGCGTTATACACAATACACTCAAAAAGTGGAGATGCACGTGTGTAATCGTTGAGACGGGGCCGAAGGTGGGGGAACTTTGCTTTCGAGGCCACTGTCCAACGCCCGGCACCACGCCTCTGCTGCGTCTGCAGCAAGTTGACATAAACTGTATCGGTGTGAAGAGTGTGGATCAACAATGTTGCTTCTGCTGTAAAAAGCAACTGTGACTTCGAGGAAAACAAACGCCGGCGCCCAATCTCATAACCAAAATGCAACGAACTCCGCCAACGGTAGACTTCCAATCGCGGAAGCCCACGCGTGCCAAGCTACTGAGCTCCAAGCAGAAGCGCTTAGCCCCAATCGCAACTATGCCGCTGACGGGGGCACCTAATGCGTCGCAGCAAAGGGACTACAACAGCAAGGAGAAACGGAAGCATCCCGAAGGCGATGCGGCTGCGGCCTGGCTGGAGCGAAGCGTCTGCTGCATCCGGAGCAATAACCTTAAACAACCAGCCAAATCTGAACAAATGAAGGTACCCGACAGCTACTACATATACAGCTTCCTTTCTACTAGAAGAGAGCAGCCAGCCCACAATTCCAGGCACCTCATATTAAACAAGGGGCCTGCGTTCGGGCATAATGGGCTTTCCTGGGGCCTCCTCCATTCTGTGATATAGCTGCAGCTGCTGCTGCACTTCGTGCTGCACCCGCTGCTGCATCCCCTCCGCCAACTGCTTCTTCGCGTAGCGATAATACAGGTAGCTCAGGCCGAGACAAATTACAACTATCATAAACAAGATGAAAACTAGGTTGCGCGAGTCCATCATCGACCGCAGCCATGGCGCTTCTTCAGTGTGTGCGTCGCTGCAGAAACACGCCCAGCGACACAAATTATGCCTGGCAAAGGCGTTCCTCTTCACACTACAGCAGCAGGCAGCAACATAAAGGAGCCCCTGTAGAAGCAGCAGCAACAGAGCAGCACCAGCCTGGAGGCAGCATTACTAGGGGGCCTCAAAGGCTACTTGTGTTGCAATGCATCGCAGCGACGGGAGGTTCCCGTCCCTTGATCTGCCTCACACGACGATGTCATTGCACTCTTCGGCTCTGTATTTGTTTGTAAGGGGGTTAACTGTGGCAGAACAAATGGCTCTAAGGACCGGCTCCGGAGCAAGCTGCCCACTGTATCTGCGCAAGCCAAACAACAGCCAAGGAAAAGCGAGAAGCGAGATCTGCAGCACTCCCTGCAGTTCCTCTCGGGTGTGCTTACGCCCACGTATCCATGTGCACGCTTGTGCGTGGGACCGGATGCACGCAGGCATAAATGCATGCAGGTTCAGGTCTACGTTGGCCAAAATTGTCCATCGTGGGCGCACACCTCGCACCATTGATTGTCATGGCGACAATCGACCACCCGCGGTTGTTCTTGGAAAAGTCTAGCAACCTGCGGCCGTTCTCGTCTCCCATGCACAACTCCACTGAGTGCGTCTGGCCCCCTGACAACACCTCTGACAGGACGCGTTTCGAACAGGCAGGGCCCCACGCGTTCTTCCCCTATCTCATCCACAGACGTTCACACGTAGACCCCAGTGTACGTGAGCTCGCACACATGAAATAATGCAGTGTGCCATAGAACGTCGTGCCTAAGGAGGAAAAATGGACTACATTCTGAAATACGGAGAGGGACAGTAACGCAATCGCACTAGAACGCCCCCTCAAACCACGGCCGCGTCTACACACGTAACCATACACCTTTAGTTATAGATACTAAAACAACATGATGTAGCTTCCTACGCCTCCAGTAACCCCGCAGTTCGCCCACCTTGCCGCTGAAAGAGCAGCCGTCTCTTGGGTCGCCCAGCCTCTGCTGGTAGAGCCACCATTCTCGTGAGAACTCGCCTTCCTTTAGATCCGGTGGAGTCACCTTTGTGGTGCTGTACAAACATGACTGTAGAAGCGACTCTTGTACGACTTCACTCCCTAAACGACTCCCGCACGCAACACAGCAATAACTCCCACGACACCTCCATCAGCGGTAGCACAAAACCGCAGCAGCGTCACCTGAGCATCCCCAGGAGAGGCGGGCCAGCCTACACCAGCAGCAGCTTCGTAGGAGCAGCGGCACGACCGTAGCAGCAGCTGCGATGCGTACCGGTGAGGCCAAGGACTTGAGCGTTGGGTTCAAAGGCGCAGTAAAGACGGGGATATTTTTCATAGAGGCCATGAGACAGACAGAGTTCTTCGGATCCGCCCTCCAAGGAAAAAACATTGTAGATGGTCTGGAAACGGACATGGGCTCCCAAACGCAGCATGTAGGGTGCCAAAGACTGCAGGAAGCTGGCAGCTGCAGCAGAACAAACACCGCAAGCATGCCGCCCCCGACAGCAAGGGCAAACAAAATGGGCAAGGAGCAATTCACACTACAATGTAGTCCCCAACATACGTACACCGCATCCAGGGGGACAACATGGGAGCGAATGACGAAGGCCAGCAGCTTCGAGACTGAGGAGATGCACCGTGGAGAGAGCGGCAGCGGGTAGCAACAGGCGACAAAAGCATGTCGATGCTCCACACGTACCCTGTGCATCGCCAGGGTCTGCCCAGAAGTTGACGGCCACCGGCCACTGAGCCGGCATACGCCACTCGAGCTCAACAAGGACAGGTTCTTGCCCTGAAAGGATCTCCTCCTTTATTGCATCTCCTTCGGGCTGCGCTATCAGGACTGAAGGGATGTGAATATCCCTCATCTGCACACGCAACAGCAACAGCAGCAGCCACAAGAACTAAGCAGCAACTAGACTTCATCATCAGTCGCACTAGCTGTAACACAGTCAACAGCATCGACATTAACAGCAGCACCATCGAGAAGGACAGCATCGACACGAGCGACACCACATGTCGGATTCATACACGAGGAGGGAATCTACCGCGTAGCGCGTGCGTTCCACGCACGCACACACATGCATGCATGGATGCTGAAGAAGGGGAAATCTCCAGACCTTTCCGTCGTCACTCATGATGATATTGTGGCGGATCATTCCGCGGGTCCAGTCTTGAGTGCCGTGATCAACAATTACCACTGCATCAGCCCCACAGCTCTGTGCTGCCTCCACCTTTGCTGCAAAGGTGCAGACACCTCGGTCGACGAACAACACTACCTGCAGTGACAACAAACACCCCACATACCAATTGTTCAATGGCTGCTGCTGCAGATGCGGCAGCTGGTCGGCCGACACAGCTGCAGAGCCCCACCCTCATGCCATCGTACACACGGGTAGCTAGCTACCACTATTCCTTCGCAAGACCTGGAGACAGCTTTACAAGACAGACCAACAACAAAACTGAGACACAGGCAAAGCCACAGGGAAGGAGGGGATGCACGGAAGGTCGCGTCCCACAAGGTAGATGGACAACAGGGGAGACACTGCGCACCTTCGCGAGCCCCCCTTGCAGCGCGCTGCTCTTCCAGTCTTCAATCTCATCCTTTAGTCGCACGCAGTACGATGTGTCGCAATGCACTCCTGTCTCCGTCATGTCAGCCTCTTCATGTCGTTCGTGGGGAGTGTAAAAGGCTCTGCCTCTGCCACACAAAACGCAACGCAGCAACAGGAGACCAGGGGCCCACACAACTTCGGGCAAGCAAAACCGTCCACCAAGCAAGGAAGCCAGGACGACAGAGTCAACATCAACAAGCCAGTACGAGCATTTAATGCAGCTGGAACAAGGAACAACTGGTGCAGACATCGGCGGCAGCATAAGCAACAACAGGAATCAGCAGTAGCCCGTGAAGTCGGCGACAGCAACAGCATAACGCCGGCCCTGCACTCCGCATTCGCCAGCATTAGTAGGCTGCAGCAGAATATTGCTGCTGCTGCACTCTCCTGTAACAGGACATTTTGAGCAGAACCTACCTCAGGGTAGTGCCGTAGGCGGGGGTTCCGAAAGAGGCAGTGGATCCGATGATGGTGAAGAAGTTCTCTTCGGAGATGGCTTGCATGGAGACGAGTTTGTCGATAAGGCGTTTCGGAGACTGCACCCGGATCTGAGCTCCACCCTTTTCAGCCACTCCCGCAAAGAGCAAAAGAAGCAGCACCAGAAGGCACCGCCTCCCCCCTACAGAGAGCAGTGCCATCTTCTCAGGTCCTTCTCCGCAGCAGCACGGCAAAAATGTACACCTCCCCTCACGCAAACTCTGTGGGGGAAGACGCAAACCACTTGGAATTGAACGCGTCCGACAGAATCCTGTTGCCTTCTATTGGGGAAGGCTGGAGGTAGCACAGAAGGCACTCGCAACAGAGGAGCAGCAGAGGCAGCACATAGCCCGCGCTGCAGGAGGCCTTCGATGGCATTAATTCAGCCGCGTTGTGCAGGCTGGTTATTTTCTTAAGAACAGGATGAAGATCACATAGAGCTGAAAGCCAAGAAACAAGAGAGAAACACAGCCGAACAACCTAGACAACGGGTGAACGTGCACATGCAGTGACACATGGGGGACCGACTACCTGAAAAGCTGTGCCAAACTGGCATTCCAAAGATATACCCTTCAAAAAGAGGGTCATGTCCTCCATCGTTAAAGCGTAACGACGATGTAGGGGTTGCCGGGGCTTTAGAACAGGTTGCATGCAAGCTGGCTTGCTGATGGTTTCGGTCCCACCTAGAGGAAATAATTGCTTCTTTGGGGACTCTTTTCCCCTTCCTGTCGACGGTTCCAAAAATATGACTTCTGTAGGCAGTTGATCATGTGTATACGTGCTGCACCGCAAGAAAACGAGCCCCCCAAGGATGTGCTTACTGGGAGCACGCTCGAGTAAACTTGCGCAGAAGTTGACTCCTAATCAGAACCACCAAATTTAATGGACTTCTGAGTGTCACTTTCTGGATAAGAGTAAAAGAGTTTCAACGAATACCCTGGCTAGGCGGGAGGGAGGCAGCAATCCGCAGAGTTACCGACGGCACTTCACCAGCACCAAGAGTTTAACGTGCCCATACTGTCGCCTCAGGCATTTGCGCGCGCCCTCGAAATTATTGCTTCAGGTGGGAGACTGCGTTGTAGCCTTTGGTGTGCATGGTATGGCGTGCGATGTAATGACCCACTGTTACGGTGACCTTGACCAACGGTTGGGTGGGGTAGCCAATAGGTGTGCCTGCCAAGTGAGCTGTACAATCTGCAGTGTGCTGCTACGTAACACCAAATGAGCGCACGCATAAAGTCTCTTCCATGCATGCAGTGACGCTGCAAACAACTGTTGATCATCTCATTTTTCTCCAGTGTTGAACTTGCATGCTATTTGCGGTAACTGCATATTCCAGGGAGAGCACGATCAAACTGTCCCCATTATCCCCCAAGCACCACATACCCTCGCCTGCCTAGTCTCCAGGCAATGGGGTGGGCGCACTGAAGAGAGGGGTCATGAGGCAATTGAAGCCCCAGATCATGTTATTTCTGCTGCTTCATTAGTGTTTGTGCAGCACCCCTTGCACAGGCTTCTTGCTGCGTGTTCATTTGCTGCAGTACGCTTTGTTGCTTTATCTCTTGCAGCTAGAGTTGTTGATGCCTTGGCCTCACTTTATCGTGTTGCTGTGGCTGCCGCTCTTGTTGCGCTTTACAGCCAAAGCTGCTGGTGATAATGTGCTCTCTCTGCTGCTGTAGCATATTCGGCTGGTGAACCCTAGCCTAACGAGTGATAGTAGCATTCAGGAGCATATCATTATCGGTTGCATGCGTCAGCAGCAACACCCAGGTTGTGCGCATACAGGCTTAGGTACAATATATATATGGGGGTCAAACCAAAGCCCGTTTGTTGCTTCGTTCTGACCTCGGCGGACGCTGGTATTTGCATTTGTGTAAGTCTCTCAAAATCCTGCTGAATTGCACCCATCCATCCCGTAGTTCCTTTTCCGCCGCCAAGACGCTAAAGGATTGCCTCTTCGAGAGAACAGCTTTGCTTTGAACTACTCAAGATGGCGAGGCTCCATCGTAGGAAGCCTGCTCACCAAGGAGTGGTACTGTTCAATGTAGCTGCCGATAGCTTCCCTTGGTAAGCTTCTGCCATACCTTGTCAGCCTTTGACCTAGAGTTGAAGACACATTGCAGAGCATCATCGAAAGCTTTAATACTTCCGTCGTGCTCCGAAAAAGCCACACCCTTTTAGGTAAATTCACTTTTTTGGGGAACCCCCTTCTAACACAAGTGTGTCAGTAACAGCTGCCCTCTGGGCACATTTGAGGGGAAAAGTACTACTCCCAAGACACAACGGATTCTCCCGTTGCCTCTGCAACACAGCAAACGTCATGTGTGGATGGTGTGCTAGAGAGAGACAACCGGTAATGCGATCAGCCTTTGGACACCTGCCCCCCAAAGGGCATCCTGAACCGTACTAATTTCAGAAGGAGAACGGTCGGAAGTTTCGACAGGGACCTTAGGGAGAATGACCTTATTCGAAACACCCGGGCTAACCAATGCTAAACACTACGACACTCAACTGTGGGTCTGGAATTAGAAGCTTGCCCTATTCTCCCCTGAAAGTTCGGTGCAAGCAAGCGTAAGACAGGCTCGTCAGTGTCGACAAGAGTATGCTGCAGTATGCTGCAAGAAGACTTCCCGTAAAGCACCGAACCTGTATTCCTGGCTACAGGTAGTCTGAGAACGGTGCCACGAAGGTTTTCGGCTGCTTTGGATAAGAGGCTGCCTGCCCCCCTCTCCGCAAAAGCCTTGCTGGTAATGCACCTGCCAGCAATTTCTGGTTCCAGGCCACTTGCACTCACACCAAACGCCACTCCGTGCATGCACTATCCCAGAAAACAACTGCTAAACAGTCACGTGGCAATCAATAAATAGATTAAGCACATGTAGAAGTGCGCGGAACCCAAAGGCCTCTTAAGCCGTGCAGCGCCTTAACAGCAGCACGAGGCGACAAGGTGAGCAGCCGTTTTCAGCATCATACCACCTCTCACAGAGATAGCGCAAACATAATTGATCAGAGCAAATCCTAGCAAAAAATTGCAATCAGTACGTACACCACCCAAAATCCCAAATGAACTCCCCCCAATGCAACGTTTGCCACTACGCTAGCGGGAGCAATACAGCCAATAAACCAGCAAAGCGCTTCTTCTGCTTCTCACCTAAGGGCTAGATTGCCTTTCATAAGAAGTGTCCGTTTGGCGACACATAATTGTCTAAAGTTAGAGACGCTACCGCAAGCCCTCCAAAACTTACCCTGACGACTCAAACTCGACTGTACCCTTTTTCACCAGGACAAATATACAAGAGAAGGCCTACTCAAGATCCCTATTATCTAGAAAAGTAAAACGCCTCATCAACTTCCCTGCCTCAATGTTGTATGTGGTTATTCCTTAGCTGTCCTTCACAGATATTATTGAGTCCGAGTGTGGGAGGCCCCCGGCGGGGCCCAGCGAGCTGACTTTAGTGGAGAGACAGCCCCTTTAGAGCTGCTCTAATTGCAGAAGAAGCTTCAATACTTAAGTTTTTGATAGACACCGACTCCTTTTAGGAGAAGATAGCTCTCTAGATGACCCTTTTGCTGCAGCGGATGCTATACTAGTGCATCACCTGGCCGGCGGCGCGTGGATGCAGGGGCTCTTCCTTTAGAGGCATGTGACTGCAAAGCGGTAGCAAAGCGCGTGCATGCAGGTTGTACTAGGACACGGGGTATCTGACTGCTGAAGCTGCTGTTTGCATACCCGCTGCCGCAGCACCCACTGCAGGAGCAGCTGCCGAGCGACTCATGAGGCGCTGCTTCTCTAGCTTCTCGCAAGGCCACTGACGAAGCTTGTGCAACGGAGTGCACGGGACCGCAAGAGATTTTAGCATCCACTACAGAAACAACAGCAGGAATGGGCCTCTCTAGCAGCAGGCGGCTCCCGAGCAGCTCTTGATTAGCAGAAGCAAACTAGCAGCAGCAAACTAGCTGCAGCAGCTCCACGTGTTGAAACCTATGCCCATAGAAGCCCTTTCCAAGGTCAAAGGGCGAAGACACACTGCAGCTGTTCATTGGTGCTATAGAAGAGCAACGCCGGCACAGCAAAAACACCACAGCAGGGGCAGAGGCAACACCTACAACAGAACAGCACAATTGCCGAGAAAAGCCACAGGTTCGGTGCATGTTTATAGCGCTGCGGCGACTGACCGAAATCCCTGCTGCTGTTACTTCAGCTGTCCCAACTACGTCTAGCAGAAGTAGAAGAAACAGCAGCAACCGCTGATGCTCCTGCTGCTACAGCAACAGTTGCAGTTAGCAGGACAGCAAGGGGCTGTGGGGTCTGTTGAGGGACCGAATCCCTGGCAATGCTGCAGGGGGCGGGGCCTCTGGCGAAGCCTCCTTTTTCGGCCCCGGTAGACGCTTGTAGCCTTGAGCAGCAGCAGCAGCACGACCAACAACTGGGTCGCTCAGCCCAGGGTCACCCGCCGCTGCAGGAAAAATACAGTAAGAGCCCAGCAGAGGTGACAATTAGAGAAGCGAGGGGCCCCTGCGATATCAGATTTCGTCAAGACGACAACAACAACGGACAAAGCACCGGCAGCAGCAGCGGCATCTGGAGCGCGACTGTGAAATCAGGAAGTCAGGAGTATGGAGAGGGAGGGACAATTTCGACAGACAAGAGTAAGAGTAGAGAGCAGCAACACGGCACACAGGTGCAGCCGCTAGACAAAACTCAGCTGCTGCAGCCAGAATTGCAACAGGGTCTACAGCAGGTGTTGCCAGACGAGCAGCACAAGGCGCTGAAGAGGGGGCTGCAGCGAAGGGTAGAGCAGCAGCAGGAGGAAATCTTTTCTAATTTCGTTCCTTGGCCGGGGCGGCCGAACAGCTACAGGCGGCCAGCAGAAACAGCAGCAGCAGCAGTGAACAGCACAACAACACCATCGTCTCCAGCACCAGCAGGAACTTTGAAGCGGGAGTTCGAGTTGCTACAGCAGGGCATAGTAGCTGCAGCAGCAGCGTCCAGCAGCAGTAGCAACGGCGGGCGCAGCAGAAACACGTCGTCTGTGGGCCGTGCAGTGCGCCGCCAGGCCTCGAAACTGAAGCGTCTCACTGCTAACTTTTTGTCTCGTTCGCTTTCAAGCGCCGCGGGTTCGGCGATGGCTGGGGGTCCTCTGCCTGGGGGCCCCCCTCCCCTGGACAGCCGCGTCTTTGTGGGCGAAGATGCCTTGCTGGCAGAGCTGCCTCTGGAGGTGGAGGAGAGTTTGCTTGAGCCCGCCTTGTCCTGGTGACTACATAGCACTTCTATGCTCTGCAGTCTTCATGTGTTAGCGGGTGGAAATACATTTGCGGGCTTTGGGTTTTGGGCAAGTGTCTCCCTTGCTGCTCAGTTATAGGCAAACCAGACTTTAGTCGTGCAAGCAACACCAGTCGCAGGATGCATGCAGCAAGGGAGCAGTTTGCAGTGGATTTTTCCCGCTGGGCTGGATGTGCGATTGCCTGCATGCGCTGCAGGTCCTGCACAGAGCACTCGATAGCCAGGAGACGCAGCGGGGAGCTCGGCTTGCTGACTCTGCTCAATCATTCCACTCCCCTTAAACTAGTTTTACCCTTGGAGACAGACGGAAGCAGCACTGTCCCTCCGTCGGACGGCGCTGTTTCTGCAACAATGCCGCCAGCAACTGCTGCAGCCGCAGCTGCTGCTACAGTCGCTTCACCGGGCCCGTGCCCCTACGTACTACCGTTTGAAGATATCATGCAGCTGTTGGGTCCCCTGATGCCCAGGTAGGGACACTTGCACCAGCTTGCGCTGTTGTTTGCACCCCTTGTTTGCCTTGTCCTCCGCTGCAGCAGCATCTCGTTCCTCCCCTGCTGCAACAGCAACACCCTGCCTTCCTAACTGCTGCTGGCCTCACTGGCGATTGCTGCCGCTGCGAAGCACGGCTGTCTCTGCCACTTATAAGTCCACTTGTAGCTGCATAGCTTCTTGTTGCTGCAGACCAGCTAGCATCGACGCGTCTGCAGCAAGGGGAAACTTAGAGAGTGCCGACGCTAGAGGAAATCCCGATGGCGCAAAAGGAGCATCTGCTGCTGATGACAGCATGGGTGCAGCAGCTGCTGCTGATATCGGCGGTGCAACACCTTTCACTCCTCAGGCGACAACAGCAGCTTCAGCTGACCAGGGAGATGGGGAACCCAATCTTGATGCAGATGGGGCTGGTGCGGCTGCAGCTGCAGCAGACGGTAGAGTAATTGCTGCTGCTGACACACCTTGTGATGACGCCTCTGGGGCCAACTCCATTACAGCGGCGGCAGCAGCTGTCAGTGCAGTTACACAGGAAGCAGAGCGCGAATACCACGTAACAGCAGCAAAAGCAGTGCAGGCGAAAGAGGCAGAAGGAACGGCTTGGGCGGACTCACCAGCAGCAGCACTAACGGCAGCTCACGCATTAGCAGCAAATCCTGACACAGAGTTGGTAGCAAGTGCTGCGACAGAAGCAGGAAAGGCAACAGAAGCAGAAGAATCGGCTGGAACAGCAGCAGCAGAAGCAGCTGCCAGTGCAGCTGCAGAGCAGCTGGAATCGACGACAGCGGAAGCAGAAGGGGCAGAAACAGTAACAGAGCCAACAAGTGCAGACGCTGGTGCAGCAGCAGAAGCAGTAAGGCAAGTAAAGAAAACAGCAGAAGCAGCAATAGACCGAACAGGATTAACAGCGGTTATTATGGAGACTGTCGAGGTTTCAGCGGCACCTGAAGCATCAGCTGCAACAGCAACAGCAGAAACGGCACTAGATGGCCTGGAGGAGCGTTGCACTGCTTCTGGGGAGTCGTCGCCCGACGGAGCATCCGGAAAAGCACACAAGATGACAGGAAAAATAACGGAAGCAGCGGCATCAGAAGCAGCAGCATCGGAAGCAGCAGCATGGGAAGCAGAAGAATCCGAAGCAGCAACATCAGAAGCAGCAGCAGCATCAGCAATAGCGAGACCAGAAACAGCATCAGGCGGGGTAACGCCAGAGCTTTTACAGACTGCCATTGACGATGAGGAGATGCCAGCAGCATTGAGGGCCCCGTTCACCGAGCTTCGTGATCGAGGTTCTGCTTCAGGAGTAGCATCTGCAGTATTAGAAGAAGCAACAGATGCAGGAGAAGCAGCGGCAGCAGCATCTGCATGCATCCCTACAGATGAAGACCAGTCCAGCAGCCGGTTGACGACGAGCTCGTAGGCTCTGCCTCTGCTGCGGCTTCTGCTGCTGTGCCGTCTGTTGCTGTGATAGTTGGTGCTGGCGTCCTAACTGCTGTGTGATGATGTTCTCGCATTCTTTCGTTGCGTATTGTATCTGCTTGTCTCCCTTGCACCAGCAGCAGCACCAATAGCAGCAACACCGCAGCCTGCTTTGCATATCCCGCTTCTTGCATGGGTGTATTGTCGCTGCAGGCAGCAGCTTACAAGTCGAGGCGGCGAAGAGGATGCAGAGACTCTGGAGGCGCGCCAGCTGCGGCTAGGCCTCTCCGATTTTCCAGAGTGGCTCATGCAGGTGGACGCCGATGCGGACGAGCAGAAGCCAAACCCCTACAAGGCCGTTCGCCTCAGAAAGTAACCTGCGATCTGCGACTGCTACTATTGCTACTGCCACTGCCAGTGCTTCTGCTACTATTTGTGATGCTTTCGTGGTGCTTTCGTTGGGGATGCTGCTTCGTGGAGTTTGTATTTTTGCTTTTTTTTTGGAGGGGGGGGTGGAGGGGGGGGGGCCGCTGCCCCCTTGCTGCCGCTGATGGGGATATTGCAGCTGATGAGGATACTGCTGCTGCCATTGTTGCAACTGATTTTGTTGCTAGGGTTGCGCTGGTGCTCTTTCTGCTGCTGGTGGTGTTGTTGCTGGTGGTGTCAGTGTTAGTGTGGTGCGGTTGGATGTGTTCTTTGAGTGCCTGGACACGCGCAGCAGCGGCAACAATCGCAGCAGGATCACAGGCTGCTGCGGTTGCTGGTTTGGGCTGCTCTGCGTGTCCACCATGTTGTGCGTTTGACCTCCTCTTCTGCCGTGGGCAATTCTGTCCTACTCCTACTTCCACTAATCCTACTACGACTACTAGTGCTGCTGGAGTTGCTGTTGCTGGGGCTACTGCTGCAGGACTGGCTTGCTGCCAGGGCGCGAAGACGGGAGGAACGACGAGGCAACGGCCCGGCGCATCCGCGCTCGGCTCGACTGGATGAAAGGCTGCGCTGCCAAGGGGAAGCAGCAGGGTCGAAACGCGAGTACTGCATACAGAGGAGTAGAAGGAAGAGGAGCAGCAGCACCAGCAGACGCAGCAGTAGCATCACCAGATGCGATCAGCCAATCGAGCAGCCGCAGCACCTCCACAGCACCGGACGGCGCCTGGAAGAGACGAGAGGTGCAGCACCAGCAGCACGAAAGACGCACACCAGGCCTCATTCGTAGAGATCTCGGCAGCAGCACCCTTCAACACCCCGTGGAAGCCGACGACTTGGGTAGGGCTCACAAGCAGCAGCTCTGCAGATCGGCTCAGCAGCCTCATAGATGCGCCCCTGTACCTCAGCCATGCTTTTGCATCCTCAAGCTCCATACGCAGACACTGCTGCAGATCTACCGTCAATGTGTAGGCAACTGCCTTCATCCATGCTGCTGTACTGCTGCTTCTGTGCAGGCCCCGGGGCATTGGCATCATCTGAGGCCAAGGGGCATTCGGTGGCGGCGCTGCGGGCGCTGTTTGAGCGAAGCCGCGCCGCTTGGTTTGAAGGAGAGGTGAGCAGTACAAAGTTCACACCAGCTACTGCTGACTGGCAAGGGGTGGCTACAGTTGACTCTGTACCTCGTCTGGGGCCACCCGCACCCCACTGGCGTCAGTAGCAGCATGGCGGGGCTAGTGCTCGAGCCAAACGGCGGGGCTGCATGCAAGGACATCCTGCCAAACCATCCCAGCACGTCACAGCGCGCATTTATGCTGCTTCATCGGCTGCTTCTTCTGCGTGCAGCTCCAGCGCTTCTCTCAGACCAGTGACTCTGGGGACCCCACAAAGGCCAGAAGGAGCCGGTAAGCCGGGACCCAATCCCCGCGAGGAACGGCAGATGGCACAAGTCCCAGGCGGCTTCCCCTACGTGCCCTGGAGGCCACTTATATGCAAAGCGGGATATTAGGATGGCTAGCTAATAGAGCGGCTACGTAGTCGGGGGTGGCTAGCCAGCCAGGAGGCTAGCCCAGACAGCCACATACCTAGCTACTCTTAGCTGGACCTTTGAGGTGCCGCAACGAACATTCTGTGTCGCTATTTGAAGGGAGGCCAGATGTAGGCAGCTGATGGAGAGGTGAGGTCTATCTCTTAGGGCATGTGCCCCAGGGCTCTCGCAAGCCCTGTGCCTCCAATGCATGCTTTTGGCCTTTTTTCTAAGAGGCAGGCTACAACGCCCTCAGAACTAACTGCAGCAGTCCCCTAAGTCAATTCAGTTCAGGGCTGCCAGCTCTGCTCTCTAGCTGTTCGCGCCCATGCAGATCAAGGATCAAATGCGTATGCATGCGGGAGGCCACCTAGCTAGCTGGAGAGCTAGCTATCTAGGCGGGATCCAGCAGCTAGGCCAGACTAACTAGCTAAATGGGCAGTTCGCTAGCTAGGCAGGTAGCAGGGATGTCGGCGAACTAGCTAGTCCGCCCTCTAGCTAGCTAAGTACGTAATTGGCTACAAACTAAACTGAGCCGCTCCACAAGACACCTGCGGCGCCTCCAGCCACCGGTGACCCAGCAAGACGACCCAGGGAAGAGTCTTTTAAATTAGCTTCCCCTTGCTGCGGCGAGGGGAAAAACGAACGGGCGCTAAAGCAACAAACACTGAAGAAGCAACAAACACTGAAGCGACTAGAAGAGACAATAAAAACCCCATAGACATTCTAGAATGGACCCCCTAGCAGCTCCATCAGAGAAGAGTCTAGCGGCTCGGCGGCCGTCCCCGCGGCTGAGAAGGAGACAGTTCTCCCAGGGTCTCCTGTCTTCCCTGAAACTCCCAAAGTGTCTCCTGCTGTATCATCTCCCAAAAGCGCCAGAAGACCGCCACCACTGCTCGACGACTGTGTGGTGACTGCACCAACTGAATGCATACTCAACGCACGTAGGGGGAGGTACGGCACCCCATCTGCAGAAGGAAAAGCCGTAACCCCCAACCTCTTGGGCTTTTGCTGCTTCTGCATAGATAAATTGCTTTCCTCTGCTGCTGGCAGCCTTCCCTCCACAGATGGGCGCCCAGACAAATGACCCCAACAACACCAACAAACCCCATTAACTCGGGGAAGCCAACTTGCTGTGGAACCCGCACTAACACAGAGGCATACACTTCGAAGCATACAAAGAATCTCACCTGCAGAGGTAACAGCAACAGCCCCATTTCCAAGCGTTCTAAGGGGCGATTCCTCATCTGAGTCGTTAAATGGCTGACAATGCAGCTCCCGACGAATGGACCCATGGAGCTGCAGATGCACCTCCAGACCATACCCACCAAAAGCTCAGCATGAACTCCGTAATTTTGCTGCTGCTGGAGCAGCATCTGTTTCTGGTGCAGCTGTTGTTGTTGACGGAGAAGCAGCTGTGGCTGCTTCTAGTGGCGCTAGGGCGGGCAAGACAGGGCTGTGATATCTGCACCGACTTGTGGGGCCCGTACCTGTTCGTACGTCTGCAGCGACAGTGTGCGCTTGCGTGCCAGCGCAGCCTCGACCTGAGCTGCGTTTCTTTTTTCTTCTGTCTTTAGTTTTCTTTTTAGTTGGCTGTCTGTTACTCCAGGCATCATCGTCTTAATAAGCAGCAGGTCCGTGCCGCAGCAAGACAAACACTCGTAAAACCTACACACACCCAACCAACACGCACGAAAACACAATACATGCTGACCGTTCAACGCGCCCCGATGCTGCTGCTGCTGCTGGAGACCGCAAAGGCAGATGCTCACTTGCGGGTTTCCTCTTCGGTCCAGCGCTTTCCCTTAGTCTTTTTGTATGCGCCTTCATACGGCTGCAGCAACAGGAAAAGCACCAACCGAGGGAGCCACATCAACACATACATGGAAGCACACCCAGCAAAGGGAACGACAACAAACAGCAAACAACACACAAAAAACAACAAACAAACAAACAACAACAAACAACAACAGCGCCGCCCACCTGAAGCGCGAATGCTCCCCTTGAGGTCAAGTCCTCCTCTAGAACTCGTCGCTGCTGGCCACTCGTACACACACAGTTTCCACCCAGAAGCCCTGACATGCCAAGACACCTGAAATCACAAGCCAAAACCACTCGCCCTTGCCCTGTCGCTGCCGCCACTGCTGCCGCTGCTGCAACTGCTGCTGCTGCTGAAGAAGCTGAGCTGACTGTCGCTGCGGCGGCAAGACATGCCTGCAGCAAAATGCCTCTTTGGGCCCATCTGCTACCACTAGGTTCCCGGAAGAGTCAAGGCGCAATGAGTCCATGCCACCTGCGGCACAGCAGCAGCAGGACGAGCGTAAGCAGCAACAGCAGAGCATAAGACCCACATCAACAGAGGAAAGGACAGAAAAGGTCTCTAAGGGACCATATACCGCCAGAAAAACAAACAACAGCGGTCACGGTACCCCACCGGAGTCCCCAGTTGGGGCTTCGAAGAGCCCCTGAAGGTCCGTGCCGTCTCCACTTGCAGCTGATGGCGCACTCCCGACCTGCTGCTGCTGCTGCTGCTGCTGCTGCGGGGTCGGGCAGAGCAGCAGTGCGAAGGGATCTTCCGCTGGATCCGCTACGGCCTCCGATGACTGCGGCAGGAGACAGAAGGAGACATATTCAAGTCCATGGCAGTTGCGTATCCTGCTTAACAACACCTCAGGAGGGAAGGGTTGGGGCACAAAGTGAGATGCAGCAACTCACGCCCTTTGCTGCTGCAGCGGCATTTCTTCTTGCTGCTCTGTCCGCTGCCGTCTTCTTGCACAGGTTCCTCTTCACCAAGTCCCACAGCGTCACCGGCTCTGCAGCAACGGCAGCATGCCACAACCAAAACGCCTGCTGCAGCAGCAGCTACGCCGCCGCCGCAGCAACACCAGCAGGAGGAGGCACAGCAACCGCAGTAGCTTCCACAGCAGCAGAACACACCCCATGAAGAACTTGCAGCATCATCAAACATTCGAATACCAGCGGCAACCCCAGCAGCATCCTACGCACTATTTCCGGCCGGTGCTGCCTTCTGAATAGCCGATTCTCCTTGTGGAGACACTTCATCTGCTGCAGCAGCTGGGGCAGGAGCGCCACTGTTATTGCGGCGGTTGCCACAGGTTCTCCGACCCCTTCCCCTGTTTGCTGTGCTGCTGCATCCCCTTGCAGCTGGCCGGCCCCTCTCGGCCCTCCTAATGACCGTAGCACCCGCAGCTGCTGCTTTGCGGGGTCGCCCCGCACGGCGAGAGAGGTTCCGTTTGGGGACGAACTCTTCGTCGCTGCTATCTGCAGTTTCTGCCATCCCGCAACCAGAGTCACAGCAGCAGCAGCAGCACAAACGCATCAGCAAAGCTTCAACGAGAATGAACGTCCATGCAGCAAAAGAACCAGCAGAAGCAACTGGAACTAGCAGTAGGAACTGCGGCAGCAAGCGCAACAGGGGCAGAAAGAGCCAACTCGCCTCCTAACAAAATGTGAGGAGCATACCTGCCGACTCCTCTTCGTCTCCGCTGCTGCTGCTCTCGCTGGAGCTGCTTCCGCTCTCGCTGCTGTCGTTCACTGTCTCTACGCTGCTAATCCCAGCGCTGTTGCTCCTATTCTGGCTATTTGCTGCTACCGGACATCTGCGTGCTGTTGTTTTGCTGGCTGCTTCCGCGGCAGGCCGGCGGAGGCGGTGCCGTCTGCTGGTGAATTCCTCCTCAGCTTCAAGGTGCAGGCGCACCTGTTGCTCCCGCATGGGGGCGATTTCTTCCTGTTGCTGCTGCACTGTTCCTTTATGCTGCTGCCGCTGCAGCTCCCAAGCGTCTTCACGTCCACCAGGGGCGGCCCGCAGGACTTCTCGTGCAACTGCAGCTGCTGCAGCTTCTGCTTCGCTAGCTGCAGCGAGAGCAGCAGCACCAATCTTCGGGAGACATTCCTCACCTTCAGCTGCGTCACAGCCGCTGCTGCTGCTGGCTTTTTTCTGCGTTGCAGCAGTGCCTGGCGAGCCTTCCAAACCCACATCGTCCCGTGAAGCTGCCTGTCCTCCCCCCTCATCCCCCTTAGCCTCAGCACCTGACGCCTCTTGCAGAGTAGCAGAAGCAGCAGCAGCAGGTCGGTTGTTACGCGCCCTACTGGGGGAGCTGGGTGGCGCCGCCCCGTGCTGTGGCACGTAAGAGAATGCTGGAGGCCCCTGGCTTGGCGCTGCTGCATCTGCGTCTGGCCATCTTCGTGGGCCTCCCAGCGGGACCCCTACGTGCTGCTGCGGCTGCTGCTGCTGCGCTGCAACGAAGTAGGGCTGTTGCTGCGATGCAGCAGATGGCGCGCCTGTTCTCGGCTCCAACTCTGTGTCCAGTGGTCTCCCTGCAGCAGCAAACTCACCCGCAGTAGCCGAAGAAGGCGAATTAGACGCATCCACGGGAAGCAGCGCTGCATGCTGTTGCTGCTGCTCCTGTTGCTGCTGTGGCGGCAACACATGCTGGAACTGACCTGGTTGCTGCCGGTACGCTGGAGGCCGCTGCAACGCGTGCTGCGGCTGCTGCCAACCAAGGTCTGGAGTGAGTAGGCTCTGGGGCTGCAATTGCTGCTGTACCAGTAGCTGCTGCTGCATCTGCTGCTGTCGTGGGTGTTGCTGCAGCGGGGCAAGCATTGCTCCGGGTCCGCCAGACAGCCCAGATGCAGCAGGTGCAGAAGCAGCACCAGCGGACCCATCCGGTGGCAAGGAGCCCCGCAGCACTCCAGTAGGAGAACTCGCTGACGGCAGGAGCCACTGGTGCTGCTGCTGTTGCTGTTGAGTAGATCGAAAGGCCTGTGGCAATGCCTGAGGGGTCGGTTGCATCACTTGAGGCGTCTGCTGCATCGCCTGGTGCTGCTGCTGTCTTGCTGCCTGGATTTGCTGGGATGCAGGGCCAGGCTGCTGCTGTTTCTGTTGCTTCTGTGCTTGCGTATGCTGCTGCTGCTGCTGCGTAATCTGTGGTGGGGAGCTTTGAGGATGTCCCATCTGTTTGGTGTTGTTTGACTGCACCAACTGCTGCGAACGCTGCTGTTGCTGTTGCTGTTGCTGTTGTTGCTGTTGCGGTCCGTGACCCAGCTGCTGTTTTTTCCACGCCTCGTTTGCTTCCCGTGCGCGGGACTGAAAGCTCCTCTTCTCCTCCGCTGAGAGTTGCCGCCACCTGCAGAGACACCACAGCAACACGACGCCTTCAGCTGTGCACGCCGCAACTGCAGATGTTGCTGCTGCAGCTGCAGCTAACTCCCATGATGATTCTGATGCCACACAGAACCAGCAACAAAAAGAAACATAAAAGCGCCACGCGGGATAGCAGGCATGCAAGCGTCTCCCCACACCCAGTCCCTCTCTACACCTGTCCCTAACTCTGGGTTATTGCTCTATCTGTCCCTGTCCTTGTGGGTTTCTGTCTGTATCTCTGTTGTCTCTGTTCCTCTTGGTGTATGCACCGGCTTCCTAGTTTTGTGCCCGCCTCTGCTGTGTCTACTTGTCTGTACTCCTCTACGTCTCGTCTCCCTCTACCTGTCTTCGTTGTTGCGCCGACACTGCGTCTATTTGTATCTCTGCCTCTGCCTCTGTCTTTGCATCTCTACTTGTCTTGGCTTTTGTGTGCTTTTCCTGTCTTTGTCTCCGTCTGAATGTTTGATTTCTCCTTCTCCGTCCTACACTTCCCTCTCTTTCTCTCTTCCCCTCCCATTCCCCCCTCCCCCCTTCCTATCTGCTATTTGTCTCTGCTCTTGTCGCCTCTATCTCTCTTCGTGTATTTAACCTGTCTCCAATGAAGGTGTTCTGTTCGCTAAGGGAGGCACCGCAGTCTATTCCCATTTCTTTGCAGCTTATGCGAGTCTCCTTTGCGAACAATGTGAAGGCGGTGTAGCCCCTCTGGCTGCTGCTCTTCTCCACAGGGCCTCCTCGCTTCCGCTTCTTAGGCACAGCAAGCGGGCTCTTCTTGCCAACAGAGCCCTGCTGCTGATGCTGCTGTTCCTGCTGGTGCTTGTGCGCACAAGGCGGAGCCGGCGTCTGCTGCGCGCTTTGAGGCGGACTAGTCTGTGCACCACGGTTTCCCGCAGGAGTCGCCCCCTGCATTTGCTGCTGTTGCTGTTGTTGCTGCTGGTGCTGCTTTTGGGGAGAGCTCTGAGGTGTGCCGCGCTGTGCTGTCGTGTGCACGCCGTTGCTCGAAGCGACAGATGAGGTACTGGCAGGCTGCTGCTGCTGTTGCTGCTGCTGCTGCGACTTCTTGTCTTCCTCCCTATCTCGTTCTCCTGCTACGAACATAAATGAAGGCACACACTGTAGAACTTCCAGCGCTGCACCCCCCCTCTGTGAAAGACAGCCAACGCACCAGAAATGGCGTCTGGACACAGGTGCAGCGAGAAACAAGGGCAGAAACGGCTGCAGCTGCAGTAAACAGCTGCAGCTGCAGCAGCGAGCCCAGAGGCGCAACAGCAGAAGCAGAAGCAGAGGCACCCAGCGCAGCAGCTTCAACGAGAGGGCCCACAGGGTAGCAAGGAAACTATCCAGTGTCACCACGCAGCAGCAGCAGAGGTGAGAACACCAACATTAAAAGCAAAATGAGAAGCAGCAGCAACAGCAGCAGCGGCACACCTGCAAGCCGGTTGAGCTGCTCCGCCCTGCGTCCCCATGCCTCTTTCCCGTCTTTCGAGAGAGCATGCCAAAACTTCGCCACGCAACTCGTCTGCGGCAACAGCAGAAACAACAGCAGCAAGCGCTGCGGTAACCGAAATCAAAGCAACAATAACGACGGCAACAGCAAGTGCAACTGCAGACCTCCCGGATGCAAGAGGAGCACAAACAGCAGCACAAGCAACGACACCGACGGCAACAGCAGTAGCAGTGAATATAAACCTGTTCGGGCAAGGTGTCTCCTGTTAGCTGGCCATTCTGCAACAACTCTAGTCTCTTCTCCTTCGCAAACAGGGCCCAGCCAGACATGCCTACTCCTGCAGCAGCCGCATTAGAAATTGCATAATGCGGGTTGCAACAAGACAGCAATACTCACAACTGCAAGAACGGGCTAGCGAGGACGAGCACCAAATGAGACGTGCTCTCAACACATGCAAAAGCAACAACAGCAGCAACAAAAGCACATCAACGCTTGCCTTTTCTTGACGCCTTCTTCGGCTGTGGAGCCGCAGGGCTGCTCTTGCTGCCGCTGGTCTGCTGCTGCTGTTGTTGCTGCTGCTCCCCAGCCTTCACTGTAGAATCCACGACCCGCGGACCTGCAGAAGGCCCGGCATCCGCTGGCTGCTGCTGCTGCTGTTGCTGCTGCTGAGACGGTGCAACCGACAGCGGAGTCTGTTGGCCATCCGCACCAGAAGCTGGCGTCGCATTCTTCGCTGCACTGGGTACAGCAGCAGGACCACCAGCAGCGTCAGCGTCCTCGTTCTGTGGCTGCCTCTGCGTCAGCAGCAACTGCACCCCCAGGTGTTGCAGCATGTGCGCCTGGCCGCGGAGCTGCGCGAACACCCAGCAGCAGAAGCACACATCTGGGTTACACTGTGTCTGCTGTACAGATATACACAGAAGACAACAAGCAGCAGCTTTAGTAAAGGCTCCACTGGGCACTTCAAGGCTGGAGAGAAAAGGGTTTAGAGGGAGGGAGGATACTGCTTCAGCTGCAGCAGATTCTGTCTCTGCAACCGAGGCCGCTGCTGCAGCCGAGGATGCTGCTGCAGCAGACGCACGCTGTGCAGTTGCTTCGGCAGCTGCTGCAACAAATTCGCCGGCAAGGACTCCACACGCGACACCACCTGCAACAACGTCTGGGCGGCTTGCTTCTGCTGATGTTGCTGCGGCTGCTGTTGCAGCTGCTGCTGCTGCTCCCACAAATGCGTTACTGTCTGCAGCAACGCTTGCCGGGCTCCAGTAATGTTGGGGTCGTTGCGAGCAGCAGTGCCTCGAGACCCCAGGCGATGCAGCAGCTGCAGCAGCCGCGTTCCCATCTTGGTTCCCTCCGCTGCTGCTGCTGCAACACACTTGCTGCCCGTTGCCTCTGCCACTTGTACGACGTGTGAGCACTGCTGCTGCAGCTGCTCCCCCGTCTGCAGCAACACCTCCACCAGCAGCAAAGACAGCACCTTCTCCTTGCTCTCCACGGAGACGTGGGGGTCCAGCAGCGCCGGCCGCAGCTGCGGCCTCACCCGCACGAGGTGCAGCAGCAGCAGCAGCAGTAGCTGCCGCTTCTGGCGAGGCAGCAGCGGCTCCCTATGCCGTTCCAGCTGCAGCATGTGGCGGTGCAGCAACGTCTCAAGGATTTGCAGCAAAGGTAGGGCCTCCACCACCTCCTGCGTCTTCTGCGCTTCAGCAGCAGCAGCGGCCGCTGCTGCTTCCTCAAGGTCCTCCTCACAAAAAGCAGTAGAAGCAGACGGGAACGCTTCTGTTGGTGCTGCTACTACTGCCACTGGTATTTCAGCGGTTCCCATTGAATTCTGCCTCTCTGCAGCATCCCCTGCTGCGCTCCAGCCATCGCTGTTGCCGCCAGCTACAGCAGCGGCAGTGTCTTTGGCGCCTTGGGGGGCATCTGCTGCAGCAGATCCTGCGAACACTTCGTGAATTGTTGCTCCCTTTGCACCAGAAGCGGCAGTCGCAGCGGAAGCAGAGGCAGCAGACCTCTTCTGGGCTCTGCGCTGGAAGCTCACGGGCTCAACGCCCTTGGAAAACCAAAGAAAGATGTCTCGGTGGGCAGCGACAGCCTCTGCAGCAGCAAACATAAGGGCCCCATAAAGCACAGCAACAGCAAGGGGTGTAGCAGCAGCAAATGAAAGAACGATACAGGCTATGTTGGCCAGCCAGAGCAACACAGCTCAGCAGGTCACTCAGTGCAATTAAGCAGCAGCAACGACGGTAGCAGCAGCAGCAGCAACAACAGGTGCAACAGTAGCAACAAACAACAGCAGCGGGAGAGCGCACCTGCTGCAGCCTGTTCCAGCGCATTGGCAAAGGGAGGGATCTTGATTCCTGGTTGTTGTAGAGGAAGCAAATTTGCCTCATCAAGAGCAACTGCAGCGGCAGCACATCAGCAACACGGCAGCAAACTCTAGAACAGCACAGCCAACACAGCAGCAGCGTTGAGGCCTGCCCTTAACTTATGCAGCCAATAGTGCTGCTGTAGCATCCCGACGGGGGCCAACAGCCCCCATAGGTTGCTTTTGCCTCCAGCAGCTGTGTGTTGCTTGCTGCTGCTGGTGCTGCTGCAAGCAAGGACCACCACTATGGGGTGGTCCTTGCATGCAGCAACAGCAAACCCAGCAGCAGAAGCAACAACAAATAAACTCACAGTCAAGCATGTCTTCTTGCTGCTGTTGCATCAGCAAAAGCGGAAAATCCAGCTGCCTCTGGTGTGCCCGCGGCTGCAGCAGCGCTTGTTCCCCACACAAAAGTGATAGGGGAGGCTGCTGGGTGGGGAGCAAGCGCACGTTGCTACAGCAAAGGCATCTCCTCCTTGCAGCAGCAGCAGAACTCTTCTTGTGACCCTTGCTGGTGCCTCCCTTGCGGCGTCGGCTACGGTGAACCCGCCGGTTGCTGCTGCTGGCAGTCGCCTCTGCTGCTGGGTTGGGCAGAGCTGCTGCACTGGTAACTTCAGCTGCAGCAGCACTTGCTGCTGCAGATACATCTGCCACTGCTGCACTCGGAATAGGCGCTGCTGCTTCTACTACTACTGCTGCTGCCGCCTCTCGTGGGCTGTCTTCATGCAACCCCGCCTCGGCAGCAGCTGCCCCGGCACCGACGCCTGCTTCAGCAGCAACAGGAATAACTGCAGCGGGGGATTCGGCAACAGCTGCTGCAGGAGCTGTTTCGGTAGTTGTAACTCCTGTGACCGCAGCTGCAGCAGCAGGAGCTGACCTGGTAGCCGCTGTAGCAGCATGAGATGTAGCGGTAGCAGACACTAAGAAAGTCGTGCCATCCCCCAAATGTAAGTTGCCAGTGCTGCTGCTGCTGCCGCCGCTGCCCCGACATGCAGTGTACTCAAGAAGTCGCGAAGGCGACGCCGCAGGTTTGGTGCTGCAGCTGTATCCTTCGCAGTTTTTGTTGTTGCTGCTGCTGTGGCTGCTACTACTGTTGCTGTGGCTGCCGGAGGATGCAGTGGTGGATGTTGCGAGGTCGGATACTCCTACAGACGGGTGACAAAGCTCCCGGCTGCTACTACTATTGCTGCTGCTGTTGCTTCCAGGGGTAGGCAGCGGCGGCTGCAGAGGCACCTCACTCGCCAGGAGGGCAGGCTGCAGCAGCTCCAATGGGTCATCGCCACTTTGCTGCTCCGCTGCTGTAGCTAGAAGTGGTTGTAACGACAACGGCATGCCTTGCTGTTGTTGTTGTAGGTGCTGCAGCTCCTCAGGCTGCAGCAGCTGCTGCTGTTCATCGGGGTTCGAGGGCTGCTCCAAGGAAGGCATTAGCAGAAGCGTGTCGTGGGGCGGCTGCAGCAGATGCAGCGGCGGCAGCTCCTGCATCCTCTGCCAGCTGCTGCAGCTGCAGCAGCTGCTGCTGGAGCAGCTGCTCTTGCTGCTGCTGCTAGTGGCCCTCGGCAGCAAATGCCTGGCCTCAAAAATACCGCAGCTTCCTTCCCGTCATTGGGGTAGCCGAGTCTGACTGACGCCTGAGGTATACGTACACTGCAGCGTGGGTATCAAATCTCTTAGCAGCAGCTGCAGCAGCGGCTCCTGCAGCTACCGCCTCGACTGCTGCAGCGGGGCGGTTGTCTACAAACGCTGCTGCTGACGCTGCAGCAGCGGCTGCAGCAGAAGCTGCATGGCCCGATGTCTCGGGGAGGCCGTGCAGTCGGCACACTAGAGAGGGCAGATACGTAAAGGAAAACCACCTGCTGATGCTACTACTAGTAGTAGAAGAGGCGAAGCTCTGTTCCAGGAGGTCCGCTCGACCTTTGCTACTGCAGCTTCAGCTGCAAGACTGCGTCGGAAAGGCTGTGGAAGAAGCAACTATTCCGTCCTCTCCACAGGTAAGTAACAATACATTGAAAATGAAATTTCAGCATTTATCAATATCAACGGCAGCAACAGCAGTAGCTGCCGCTGCGGCGCCACATGCAGCCACGGCGGCTGGTTTCTGAAGCTGCTGCTATAGAGCCTGCTGCTTATTGCCTTCTGGGGGTCCAATTAGTTGCGGTTTCAGTACTAAACACTTTGCCGTGGATGCTGAACAGAGAGATATAAAGGCATTGTAGCCCTGCTCATCTAGGGGCCTCTGCCAGCCTTGGCCTCTGCTCCAGCTGCTGCTGCCGGGGACGGCAGTGTCGTTGTCTCGCAGACGGATGCCCGCGCTGCCGCTGTACGGCCGCCTGCTATTGCTGCAGGCTGCATCTCAGGTTAACGCGCACCTCTCTGAGTACCCGAGCGTAGAAGATGCACCCAGGGCCTCATGCGGTGCTCCCTGCTTATGCAGTAACAGCAGCGGATGAGGCAGCAGCAGTTAACGGGGTGCCGGAAGGGCACCCAGCTGGGTCTGCTGTACATGCTGCAACTGTGCAGCAGACGCAGGTGCACAGCCATCAGCAGGAAAGGCCACAGCCACCGGCGACTAATGGCAACAGCAACGGCAGCAGCAGCAGCCCGGGAGAGAGTTGCTGCAGCCAAGTATACGCAGAGAGGCAGGCTGCCTTCAAAAGCCACCCAGCAGCAGAGGCGATGAGGCAGCAGAGGCTAGAAATGAATTCTGCCTTACGGGCTGGCGCTCGAGCTGAGTTGCTACGACAGCTGCGCGCGGAGACAGAAAGACAGCTGCGGCAGCAGGAGGAGCTGCTGCAGCAGCAGCAGTTTGAAGAGGAGGAAAACAACCAAACACAGCAGAGGAGACACCGCAACTTTTTCAACAGGGGTTCTGGCCAGGCCGTGAGAGCCCCTCCCGAGTGTATGGACAGCCGCCCGCTGCAACAGCTGCTTACACAGCCTCAGACATTGTACGAAATTCCAGAGGACCTACGTTCAGGTAAACTCTTACTGCTGCTGATGCTGCTGTTGTTGTTGCTGCTGCTGATGTTGCTGCTGTGCCTTGTTGACTTGTTGGGTGCTGCTGGCGGTTGCTGTGAGGGCATCGTCGTCTTGTTGCTGCGGTTGTTCGGAAGCAGCTGGTGCTGGTGCCTGTGCTTTTGCTGCTGCAGCTGCTAGTGCTGTCGTTGCTGCTACTTGTGTTGCACACTTTGCTGGTGCTGGTGGTTCTGCTTCTGCGGGTTTCAGGGGACTACATGGTGGCTGTGCGGCCTGAGGGCCGCAGCTGTTTACTTCTGCTACGGGGTGGGCGAGGGCATTTGTTTGGAAAGAATGGAAGGCCGCTGCTGCGGCTGCAGTGCAGCATCAAATCGCAACAGACAGTAGGAGCAGCAGCACAGGCCTGCATGCGCGGCGGGAGCTCCGCGATGGTGCTGCTGCCGCAGCAGCAACGACAGGGTGTGCACATGCTGCCGCTGGGGAGCGAAGCACTGCAAGAGGAACTTCAAAAGGAGGCTTATTTCGGCTTGCCAGCTAACGAGAAGCAGCAGCAGCTGCTGCAGTTAAGCCGAAATTTTGCTGTCTCCCTGTACGATCGTGCTGTATCGGAGACCCTTTCGGGCGGCTCCTGTCAAGCAGACGACTGCCAGCTGAACGATTACCATCTACAGCAGTTGCAGCAGCACCACGAGCAGCAACAGCAGCAGCACCAGCAGGGGGGGATGCCACTGGTGTATTTGCCTATGGGGGTTTTGTCTAAGGGGCTGACACTGCTCGAGTGCGTCCTGTGTCCGTACACCTCTGCCAACATGCAGTATTGCTGCCGGCGGTACGCAGAGGCTGAGGGCGACACTGCAGCAGCAGTAGCAGGAGGAGGGGCAGGAGGAGGAGCAGGAGGAGGAGGGACGGAGGAGCCTTTGTGGCAGGTGTTGTTTGTGGTAGACGTCCTGTTTCTCGGGGGCCTTATGCTGGGCCACTGCGACTTTGAGTGCCGTCACTTCTTCCTTAAGAGCAGGTGAAACTGTTTAATTGTTTTTGCCTTATGTTTTTATGTGTTTGGTTGCTTACTCTCTTGTTTATGGAGGACGCATTGAAGCCTGAGCTGAACCACAGAAGCCTCAGCTGCTGCTGCTTGTGTTTGGATTCAGGCTAGAGGAGACTCCTGAGGCATTTGCGCCGCTGCAGTTGCTGCCGTTTGTCGGTGCATCTGCGTCTGAGCTGCAGACTTTAGTGTGCAGGTGAGCCTGTGTATGCTTATTGATGAGGTGTACATACACCTCAGCATGCCCGCCAAGAAGCGGACCAGCTGAGGCAGCAGCAGGCAGCAAAGACAGAAAAACAAGAAAAGAAAACCGGTGCTGCCGCCAAGAGAGCAGCACCGGTTTTCTTTTCTTGTTTTTCTGTCTCTGCTGCCTGCTGTTCGTCCAAAGGGCCTCCTTGTGGCTGCCATCTCATCTCTCCTGTCTCCCTTTGTTTCCTTTACTGTGGAGTCGTTTATATTAGCTTTTCCTTGTCTTGGCTGCGGTGTCTCCTTTGAGGTGTCGGTGTCTCCGCTGGGCCTTTGCCACTTCTCTTGCTGTTACTCTCCCTGTTTGAGTATCTTGACCATATGTTTGTCGTTTTTTTCTTATTTGTTCGTCTGCTCGTCCGTGCGTGTCTATTTGTCTATTTTCCTGTTTCCTTTTGCTGGGTTTCGTGTACTTATCTGCTGGCCCCCCTACCCGTGCTTATTTCGTCTTGTTCCTTTTTTGTGTGTCTCCACATCTCCTTTCGGCACTGCCCCTTTGCCCGTCTCTGTCTCTTTCGATTTCGTTTCTTCTGCCCCATTGTTTCTGTCTCCTCCCCACATTCATTCCCTTTCTGTGTCTCTTTCTTTGTTAATTTTTTCTATCTCTGCCTCTTTCTGTGGCTGGCTCTGTTTATGCCTCTCTTTTGCTGCTGCTTCTGTCTCTGTCTCGCTTTCTGTCTCTCTTTCTTTTTGACGCTGATCTGTTGAGCTTCGTCTAGCAGAACGTGCCGATTGCCGCTGACTGCTGTTAATGTTCCTGCTGCTGTTGATGAGGTTGCCGCTGCTGCTTGCACCGCTGCATGCAGCCCCCTTTTGTATCCTCCTGACGGCTTTCTCTTCCACCACAAGTTGGCCCCTCACATCGGGGGCCCCAATCCTCTTGCCCTCTCGTGGAGAGATGAGAAGATAGCGTGAGCAGCGAAACCCTAAGCCCTAATTTTTCGCTGGCGCATTTGGCAGGTCTTTCTGCCCTCGTTGATTGCCTCTCCCTACCCTTGGATATACACAACATGGAAGATGGGTTGCTGCGGGGGCGATGCTATCTCTGTCTGCGTTTGCAGCCGCTTTCCTCTAGATGAGAAGAATATGGGGCAGCAGCAGATCGACACATTTTTGCTGCTGCACCCAAACGGGGAACTTCGAAGCAGCGGTCCGCCAGCTGGCAACAACAGCCCCCGTGTGCATGCACACGTGTGCATGCAATCGTGCATGCAGATCGTCAGCACGGGCAGTGTGTGCGCTGCGTCACATTGAGGTGGACGTACGCCACACATTTCCACTTCACCTTCTGTAGGCCCTGCGACTGTCTGTGTGGTGTTGCTGCTCATGCATGCAGAGGGCCTCGTCGTGGGGCTGGCGGATCACAAGGAGTTTTCCCTTGATGACCTGAAGGAGCCTTGCATAGCTCAGTATGTCTGTTTGCTTGTCCTTATACAGTTGCTTGTTCTTTCCGTGCATGCGCGCAGTTGCATGCACGGGGCTGCAGCCTTGTATGCACCTTTTGCATGCGTGCGTCAGGGTGCCCTCCGGGATGTTCGGGGTTGTTTTGCATCCACGTCGTGTGTGGGCCTCTCTATCTGTGCAAGCAATCCCCACAGTAAGTGCGCAGGCTGCATATGTGCATTGGGTGCTGCGTTTTGCTGCTGTCTGCGGGTGGTTGTTTGTTCAGTGTCAAGGTTGGGGACTTGGACTTGAAGGCTCGCCGTTTTCTTCGAGTTGAACGAATACATGGTGGAGAGACTTACATGCAGATTGATGCAGGGAGAAACAGCGACACAGCAGTAGCAGTAGGAACAGCAGCATCTGCTGCTGTTGCTGCCCCCCCGACTGCAACTGGTGACCCTAGCGATGGAGACAGCCGCAGGGCCCAGAGAGGAGGTTCCCCCCACGCAGTGGCAGCAGCAACAGCACCAGCAGCCGAAACAGCAGCAGGAGAGAGAGGCAGCAGAAGGCATCCAAGGCGTAGGCCCGCACGCGGGGCAAGAGAGAGGGCCCCTGATGCATTCTCGAAGCTAGCAGATCAGTGGCTGCGCCTGCAGGGCAGACACCCCGTAACGTTTGAGGCCTTGTGTGGAGTGTGTCCTCCTTAGGAGGCTTTTATTTTGTTTTCTCAAGATAAATACGTATTGATTGCCCACATTAATAACGAGCGTTCTCTGCATTCAAAACATGACATCCTGCATGCGCATGCAGACATTTGCAAGCCTGCATGCGACTGCAACCGTTGCCGCAGCCCCGACAAGAAGATGCTTCCTCGTGGGGCGAAGCGGGTGGCATAAAGATCCCAGTGGCGTCAAGAGAGCTAGGAAGCACAGAGACCGAGAAGCGCAGCAGCAGCAGCAGCAGCATAGCTGTAGCAGTGAAAGTAGCAGGACTAGGGAAGGCATGTAGGGAGACAGACACGCAGAGTAGTAGAGTAGTAGAAAGCTGTACTCCACTGCCCCAGTAGTGATGATGCAACCTGGGCTGGTACTGCTACTGAACCATCACATCTGCAGCAGCAGCAGCAGCAGCTGTAGACGCGGAGGGTGTGGCTGCATTCGGGGGCACAGACATGGTTGGGGTGGATTTGTGCTGCTCTGACACGGGGGCGGTTCAATCGCGTGGGGCGGGATCCCGTGCGGCTGGATCGGATCCCCACACGGCGGGTTCGTATTTCCGCGCCAACTGCGATCGGATCCCCAAGACGAGTTGGCTAGTGTGTCACACACCAGCCAACTTGTCTTGGGGATCCGATCCCAAGGGATCCGGGGTGTGGGACGGTGTGCATGTTGGGTTGACAGCCAAGAGATAATGTAGGATCAAGGGTTGTTACCTGCTGTGTCTTGGGTGTCAGTGAGATGCTGTAGCCTATAGAAGAGGTTACGGGCTTCTGCAGCAGCAGCAGCAGCAGCAGGAAGGTCGCGCACATCTTCTGCTGCGATTTCCCAGTCTTCAAACTGTCTCTTCAGCTCGTCGAAGCAGGGGCGAGTAGACAGAGAGCTTGCGTCTGCTTGCGAAACCCGTAGGGCCCACAATTCGAGGCTGTCTTTTAAAAAGAGGTTTAAAGAGCACAAAGTGGAGTACTCAAGAAACACCAAAATGGTGCGTGCTGCACCGCGGGACGCCTTCACAGCAGCTGCGTTTGCTGCATCCTCCGCTTTGAGCAGTGCTGTAGTGTCTGGTGCGTGCGCTGCGGCTTCAAAGTAGCCTTTTGCTGCTGCTGCCCCTTCAGCAGCACGTCGTCTTTCCACTTGCAGCCTGTCGAGCATCTGCGGCAACAACACAGCTGCTGCTGGGTTCTCCCTTTCGAGGGAGGGGTTTTGGAGCTCCTGTTGCATCCGTGAGTGTAGCTTCGTATACAGCCCCTCTGCTGCATTGTAGCTGTCTAGCGACTGCTGCGCAGCAGCACGAATATTCTTCAGGTGGGGCTGCAGCAACAGCGGCAGCCCTCCCTGCAGCAGATGGGACAGCTCCGGAACCGCCTGGAGACGCATGTGAAAGCCCAGTGCTTCTGTCTTCGCCTGCTCGCCCAACCTGTAGAGCTGCTCGCAGGCAGCAGCAGCAGCAGCCATGCTGTCGCTGTCCTCTAATGCCAGGCGCGTAGTCTTGTGCTCCTGCAGTAGCGCTTCCAGCTTTAGTCCAAATCCCTCCTGCAACAACTCATCCTTCAGCCTCTCCAGCTCCTGATCCTGATGCTGCCGTTTTTCCTGCTGGACCTGCTGCTGCTCCTCTGAGGCAGCTGCAGTGGTTGGAGGCGGTAATGCACTAGCAGCACCCGCTTGCGTGTATTGTGTGGATGTGTTTGCTTTGTCTGTCAGCAGCAGCTGCAACGTGGTGTCATGCATCCTTATTAGGGACTCCATGAGTCGCTGGCTGTTTGCTGCATTCCCTAGAGCAGCAGCTTTAAGGCCAGAAAGGAGACTGTCTCCTAGACGGGAAGCGAGCTGTGCTGCTCTTTGTCTCCTTATGCATGCAGCGTAGATAGTCTCCAGGTAGCGGCGGGTCCCAACTACAGTCTTGATGGATATACAGCTGCTGCTGCCAGCGCTACTAATGCTGCTGCTGGAGCCTTCATTTGCTTGGTGCTCCTGCAGCCGGACAAGCTCCCTGTAGGCTCTGTGGGCCCTCTTGTTTTCTTCTTGTGTTGCTTCTGCTAGAGACTGAAGGTGCAGTTCTACTGCTTCCAGCAGATTTCTGCCCGATTTGCCCCAAAATTGTGTGAAGGCAGCAGCAGCAACAGGCTCAGGGCGCTGCAGTGGGAGGGCCTGCTGCAGCAAAGCCCAAGCGCGTTCTTCTGCAGCTGCCAGCAGCTGCTGCAGAGAGCTGCCTGCAGCCCGAAGACCTGTCTGTAATGCCTGAGCATCAAGGAACTGTTGTTGTTGCTGCTGCAGCAGCTGCTGCTGGTCAAGTGGGGCCTTGTTTCCTTGAGGGGTCACCGGACGAGGTGACACTTGCAGCAGTGCTTCGGCCCCAACCTTCACCTTTTCCACCAATTGTTGGGTCTCATGAAATAACGTTGATGCCTCGATGCTGTCTACTACTGCTGCTAGTCTCTCTGCTGCAGGCAGCAGCGATGCTGTGCGGTGCAGCTGCGTACGCAACTCCTGCAGGGGGATTACTGCGCCTCTAGGGGAGCCATATGCAACAGTAGCAGCAACAGCGGCAGGATCTGTTGAGGACGGGCGTCGCTGCATTACTGTTGCTCCTGGGGTCCCCTCCACTGCTTCATTGGGGCCCCCCGTATACCCCACACCATCAAACCCGCCATTTTGTGAGGCCGCTGCAATAGTGGCTGCATGAAGCCTATTTTCTTCTCCTTTTAGGGACCAGGCCTCCTTAGTTCTAAACAAGAGCGTTACCAGTGCTACTGCCACTATTGTCATTGCAGCTACGGACAGATCCCTTCGCGTTATGAAACTCCAGGGGGTCCAGAGGGATCCGGAAGAGGTGCGGCGGATTACGGGGGTCTCTTCTGTCACATGGGCTGAAGATATTGTCGGAGTGTCGTGCAGGAGCTCGCCTGCTACAATTGTCGGCACGCGCGCACCATTGTGCTCTGACACATCTTCCTTGGGTTCCCCCCCTTCGCTACCCAAGGACACCCAGTTCCTGTCCGAGAAGGTCGATGGAGAGAGGGGGTCCCCGCTCCCCAGGACACTGCAGCCGCTCAAGCCCAGCAACAGCAGTAGCAGCAACACGAGCACACGCAATGGATGCTTCCGCTGCAGCGCGGGGGGCAGCAGCAGCCGGAAAGAGAGTTTGTCAAGATCAGGCATGCCCATCAAACTCAATTTCCTCCCCCCAATCCTCATCTTGCAGAGTTGAAGGCATGTGCCTGGCGGGGCCTCGCACCGCGCGCAGCTGTTGCTGGGGATCCGACACACTGCAGCAGCGGCAGTCGTTTAAATGCGGTTAACGTGGGGCTAAAAATAAATGGATGCTCATTTCATAACCATAAAAATTTTGAAATATTGCCGAAACTGACTAACCAGCGCCAAGCGGCAGCTGCCTATAGACCCAATCCGCGCGGGCTCCTCCCGAGGTCCAGACCGCCAACGCCCAGTGGCGCGCAGGATTACGCTCCAATTGAAAGATACAAATAGGTAAAATGAAGAAATACGAATCATTTAATCAAAAAAGCTCTTATTTGCATCCTAACGAAGCACATAGTAGCCACTATCCCCTACACGTCGCCCTGAGCCGAGCTCTGGCTGTACGCCGGAAAAGCCGCGCGGCGGTGTGGCGCTCAACGGATGCACATCTCAAAAGACATTCATAGCATGAAATAACCACTTGCTTGCATGTACCTAAAAGAATAGAAGAGCAAACAACAGGGAATGTGCTGGTTATGCACGGTAGTTCGCACAGCATCGACTGGGGCGCTGGACCGCATGGATGATGCTGGCGAGTTCGCCTGCTGCAGGACACTCCATTAAAAGCTCTCACACAAACTCTTCTTACCCCCCTTCTAGAAAGCATGCATGTAAGCAGAAGCCTGGCGTACTGGGTACAGTGGGTCAAACACCTGCATCCTGGGGAGCGATCCCCGCTACTCCTATCTCCAGTATTTTGACTAGTCAGAAGCTACGGGGGGGCATTAACCAAGATCGGGGAGTTTCTTTACTCTTGGTATCACCATAAGGTTGACGAGAACAGGCGCGAGCAACGAATCTCATCCCCACAGCAGGGTGTCCTGCTGCACACAAATGTGTATGGCCGACAACAGTCCAAAGAATATGTGCACAATGATCTAAAACACTCTCAAGTGTTAATACTTCAATCCCATGTATTGGTCCTGCACAGGTACGACTGCTTATCATTTGCACTCTGTTCGGGACGCTGCCGACGCTTCGGAGGCTCGTGAAGTATCAACCAGTGCAAATTCCTGCAGGTTCTGCACCTCAACCAGAGACAACTCTTTAAAGCAAATACAATTTGGGAAGTATGCTTATGCTTTTGCCTTTCTGGCTTGAAGATATGACGGCTTTTCCAGTGTTGGGGCCGTGGAAGAGCTTATCTCCCCTGTGGAGTTGTAGATCCATCACCCACATGCTATAAAATAGCTGCAGTAGCTCTTGGCGCATTCGTTGCAAGAAGCCGCTAAGGTGGCAGTATGCAGACGGGGGCAGCAGTCTTGCGAAACGCGAACGGTCAAGCGGAACCTTCGGGGATGCGCTACGCTCTAGGCTTATTCCAAGGCCGGCAAGGGGACAGAATATGGCTGAGTCGAGGAAATAAGCGGGGCAAACTATGCACAAAACGGTACGTGGAGAAGACTCAGTCATTGGTGAACAGAATACCAATGGCGGGGAAGGAACTGTTGCATCAGTGGCTCATAGGAGGGACGCCTTCTCTCCAGGAGGAAGAGAATCAGTAGCCTGCTGGAGAGTGGAAAGGGGACCCAGAGGTGCAAGTTTCCAGCCTGCTGATGTGATAGAATTCTTACACATCGAAGAGATGCTGCTCTTGGCAATGAGCACAAAGTCCTTGATCCTGTAGCACCATGAGTGGAAAAGGCGTCTTTTCATGTTGACAGCTGAGGATTCCACTCTGCTAGCGCGTTCCACACATTCATCCCACCGTCCCTTCTGCGCCGCCCAGCTTGGTGGTTACCAGCTCTCTTCGAGTGGTTAGCCCTGTTAGTAACAATTAACATATTAATATCTCATCCATTGCCGGACCTCTGTTTATCAAATATTGATGGATCTCAACGTAGTGCTCTGTCATGTTGTCGCTTCAAGTTGGGGGCTGCCACAGCGCGGCACATTTCAAACGACCCACATGAATCTGATATGCTCCGCAAAATTGGCACCGTTGCTTACCATCAGTCATTACTGTTGTTTCTATCCTTGCAATTAAGGAGATGCAGATGACAACATGTACCATTAGGGTGCATTTTGAAGTGATTGTACAGACGGTTGTACAGTGATTGTACAGATTGTATTCAGAGTAACAACCAACTCTCCTGCTGCATGTAGATATCGGCGTCTTGCCTATCTGAACGAAAACAACGCAGCTCTGAGCAGCTTTTTACCTTTGCGCTTAAGGGAATACCCCGTATCTTCACCACTACCTGAGAAGCGTAAAGGCTGTTTGTTTAATATGCTTTTGATGGGGACGATCTTCAGCCTTTCTCGTTGCCCAGCAGGGCGCCTTCACGACTGCTGTGGCGCTGGGATTCCCCTGCCTGCGCCGACAAGCTATGCTGCGCCCAGGCGTAACGAGAATCTTCGGTGCTCAATCGGGACTGGCGTAACGTGCAGCGCAGTCGAAGACCTAAGATGCAAATTCCTCCTAAGGGCAACTGACTTCCTTGTCATTCAACCCTCCAGGGCACAGGCGGATTAAACGCTGTGGCTGCTGTGGAGAGAGGGCTACCAGTAACAACTACTTGCAAGGAACTTCGCTACCAATACGGTTGCAGGGCAGTCTTAGTGTAACCATACCCGAGCCCTCCTATCATGCATGCCTTATCGCCGGTCTAGCAACTTGTCTTGGATCCATTGCAGCACGCAATGGATCCAAAATACTTACAATGGGAGTCCCTTAAAGGTTTCCTTTCCTTATTTCGAGGTGTCCTGATCTCAACAGCTCAAGCACGTGGAGATCCTGAAGAGGAGACGGTTTGCCATGGCTTGCAGAGCTCCTTCGTGCAAATGAAGGTGCAGGACATTCCCATATGTAGGCAATAGGCTGTCCCCGCTGTATATACAACTACTCTGTGAAGTAGATGAGAACTTTTGCTTGCCTACTGCTTGCCTACTAAGAGCGGGTAATGGTCCACATTTTCTCTTTTGAGTACGCTACAATCGTGTAAATTATGTTACGATTGAAGGTAGCCCGAATGTAATATAATTTGCGCGATTGCAGCGTACTCACACAGACTATGCTTGCTACACCTACACTGACGCTATAGACAGTTGTTGGATATTCTGTCAGCCCTCAGTAGCCAGCAAATACGCAAGGAGGAGAACAGGCCATGCGATATTTAGAAGGAATACAGATACTGCCTAGGGCTGGACGGATGCCTTGGAGCTTGAAAGGAGATTCAGAGCCTCTTGGGGAGCGCTTGAACGAATTTTGAAACCTCTATTGCAGTCAGTGGCCGTTTTTTCCTGAGATTGAAACCTCTCCTTGCAGCATCTGGAGTATTTTTCCCGGTAGATGTGTTCCCGAAAGGAAGCTTCTTCACCCTCCTTTGCTGCCACAAGTTCTGTTTCCCTGCATCTATTGAACGAAGACTCGTCTGCGACTGTCTATTTTTCTGCAACAAAGAAAGAGGAGCGCGAACGGATAGCTAGAGCGAGGCTGCTGCTGCGTTGTGGCTGGCTGCATGTGGCTGCCCGTGTGTATGTGGGGCCTTGAGAAGGGCTGCAATCTTCCTTGCACTTCTCTTTAAGAAGAATATAGTACACAATTTAATGCAATAAAAACGAGTATTTAAACGCAGATAGAGGGCTGGTAAGCGCGGCACCCAAGCAAGCAGGCAGTATCTGTGCAGGTTGCTGTTGACCCCGCTGGCTGCTGCAGCGGTTGTATGTTAGCTCTGTGCTTCTGTTTCTGTTTCTCTCTGCAGCACTTCTTTATAATTCTTCTCAAGCTTAATGACACCGATATGCCTTTAGTCTGCAGCACGAATAGGGCGCGGCAGGAGAGCCCTGGGGCCCCCCACCCTTCTCCCCTTACATCCCATTTCTCCCTCTCTTCGTCTCGCCTTCGACTTAACAGCCTTATGCAGATCCACTCCATTCCGATATCCTCCTCCGCAACTGCCTGCAGGCCGCTCGGGGGGCCCTGGGCCCGCAATCGTGCCTTCTGTGCGCGGCCTAAGAAAGGCTCCTAGCAGGAACTCAGAGGAGATTGCAGCAGCAGCAGCGTTGGCACTTAGCACGGCGTCTGCAGCTTCGCGGTGTGGGGCCTCTGCGGCTCCTTATTGTCTCTTGAGCTGTCATAATGACTGCAGATGGAGCAGTGCCCCCGGACAAGGCGTGGCTGTCCCCGCCATGCTGCTGCGGTGTAGCAGCCAGTACAGAAGCAGAACCACCAGCAGCAGCAACAAATGCTGCTACTCCTGCTGCTGTGTCTGCAGTTATTGGTGTAGACGTGGGTATTCCCCCCGAGACAAGCCGGGGGGGACCCCAACCGCAGCGCTGTCTCTGCTTTAGCAGCACTCCTTCAGGTAATGAGATAGTTATATGCAGTGCTGCCTCGACTGCAACAGAGGAGACGTCTGTCGCCGTCGCTGTGCCCTGCCCCGCAGGGCGCGGGCCTTCGTTTTATGGCATGGGGGGGGACCCTGAGCAGCCGTTGGGGCTGAGCAGCAACAGCAGCAGCAGCAACTGCAGCATCAACTGCAGCACCAGTTGTAACAGCAACTTCACCAGCAGCTGCACCAACAGTTGCACCAGCAGTTGCACCAGCAGCTGCGGCAGCAACTGCGGCAGCAGTTGCAGCACTCACTGCAGCACGAGCAGCAGCACCAGCTGCAGCTTGACTGCTGTCCTTAAAAGACAAGCTCTCCTGGCAGCCATAGGCCGTATTCACTCCACAGGGAACCCTAACTCTCAGCTCAAAACCACCGCCTCCGCTGTCCTTCACTTCGTAGGTGCGCTAATTGGGGATTAGGGTTTTTGGTTTAGGGGATCAGGCGGTAGACTCTCTGCTGCGTCTCGTCTTTGGGGTTCACGGGCTGCGAGGGTTTGGGGTTTAGGGTTCGGTTTTCGTTGTGTGCGTGGGAGGCGCAGCTCTACTTCTCTCTTTCGTGATGCTCGTTACCCTGTGGGGTGTATTGGTAGGTGCTAGGGTTTAGGGCCTAGGGTTGTACAGAAGAGGATTGGGTTGTGTACTTGTCGATTGTCTTTTTTTTTTGGCTTTGTTTCTGTCTCAATTCTTCTTTGTAGGTTTGTCTAGTTGCTCATTTGTCTGTTCCTAGTGCTGTCATACGTGCTGTCTGTCTGCGTTGTCTTCTTTGTGCCACCTTCCCGTTTTCTGGGATGTGTTTAGGGTTCCCCTCCGTTTGTGGCTTGTTGGCCTTGCTTTTGCGTGTACCTTGTTTGCGCGTCCGGTTGCATGCATGCAGCACATTCTGCCTTTGCTGCGGTGTACTTACAGGACGTGGCTGTAGAAGTTCTAGCGGGGCCCCAAACCCTCGAGCAGCTGCAAGGCTACGGCCTGATGCTGTTTGTGGGTCTCCTGCTAACGTTTCTGCTGAAGTTTGTCGAGAGGCAGGGACACAAACTCACCATTTACCCCAGTGAGCTGCAGTAGTCATAACAACAGCAGCATCAGCAGCAACAGCCCAAGGCGTCGACGCGCATGGCCTCATCTTCGGCTGTGCTGCTGCAACAGCAGCGCCACATGGGCAAGGTTTAGTGCTTCGAGCAGCTCAGGGCTTTGGTGTTTAGGGCTAAGGGTTTAGGTTTTGTCTTGCGCATTTGCTGCAGCGCTCATCGTGTCCCTTGTGACGGTGGTGGCGGCCTGGGGGATCATTGTGAGTTTTCCTATGGGCCTCCTGAGTCTGATTCGGTTTAGGGTTTAGTGTTTAAGTCTTCGAGCACAAACTGCCACCAGGGAGGGAGTCAAAGCCTTAGCAGTTTGTGCTCGGTCTCGTGTGTAAGATTCCGTGGGGCTATAGGTTTAAGGATCCATGGTTGGTGGCGTGTGCGCCCCCACGTCCATCTTTCTTTCTTTTATGTAGGGTTTGGGTTTTGTTTGTGCGCCTTCAGGACGGAGTCGTTGAGCTGGTGGCAGGGGGTAGCAAACACTGCGAGGGGCTAGTTTACGCTGCCTTTTTTATTGTCTCTGCTGCTTTAGTGTCCCTGCATACTTGCTTTTGTAACAGGGGTTTTAGCACGCAGCTGCGTCGCTTCGTTTGCTATTGAGGCGCACGTGCTCTTCTTTGTTCCCTCCTTGCCTGCTGTCTGTCGCCGCTCTGTCTGATTATTTCTATCCGGCATTGCCTCCTCCCGTCCATTTCTGCCTCCCCTCCGTGCAGCGGCTGCGTGCTGTCTCTTTTCTGTCTTCCTATATTGGATTTCCTCTCCCGCCCCCTTTGTCTCTCTAGCCCCCGCGAGTCTGTGCTGCGCTGGTGTCTTTATATCGAGGCAGAGGTACGCAGACAGCGCAAGCACTCGAGCAATGCAAGCTTAAAGGAAGGAGACAGTATCTTCATTAATTCCTCCTCTTAGGGATTAGGCGCCGCGACATGCGGTTTAGAGACACTGCTTCTGCGGCGTGCTGCTGCAGTTTAGAGACACACATACACATGGGCCGTTCTCTTCTGCCTTAAGGCGCAGGAGAATGCAGGCTGCTGCCGTCTCGTCTTCGAATTCCTTTCGTCACAATTGGTCATCTCCACCTGACCAGTAGCAATATATACCCTTTTTTATGGTCTCCACTAACCGTTACTGTCGCCGCAAGTGTCACCACCTGACATAGCAGCAGCAGCGACTGCGTGCTGCGGCAGGAGCATGAATTCTGGCTCCCCTCAGTGCAGTGTATGTACACTCAACTTGGGGTTTGCAGCCCCACTTAAGGGCGTTTTAGAACTTTACATTGTCGCTTCTCCCCTGCCCATCTCTTCTCTAGGGTCTACAATTTAGTGCGGATGCTGTGGCTGTACAGCTAGCTGCCTCTCTGCAGCCAAAGCTACGGGCGCCTTATATGTGCCTTAATATTATTACGTTTACGCTGCGCGCCTCCTGTGTGTAGGCTGCATATCTCTCGACTCTCTCTTAAGCATCTCCTTTCCTTCTCTCCACCCTCACTTGCCCTTTGTCTCTCTCCGGCTGCCCATGAGGCAGCTGCCCTCGGTGCACTCAGCTGTATTTGCTTGTGCCTGCTGCCTCCTAAAAGAGGGAGACACAGAAATATCATATTGCCCTAAAACAGGACTACGGAGTACCCGTTCGTACCTGCAGGCCAGCTGCAGAGCAGGAACAGCAGGCGCAACAACAGCAGCAGCAACAGGCGCAGCCAAAAGAAGACAGAGCAGCAGCAACAGCAGCATGAAGTACAAAAAGAGTAATATATGTATATTTATTACATATAGAGTTCGTTGAGGGAGGGCTTTGCAGTTGAGTTTAGAAGTGTTGCAAGAGAAATGTGCCAGTTTGCTGCTGCTGCTTGCATGCATCTTGCAGCGTAAGGACTTTAGCTCCTTTTCCTGCAAGGAAGTAGTGGGTGTGCACGAAGGAACCGAGCATGGAGGCGAGGCTAACAACGGAGACAAAAGAGAGGAAGAAGGTTAAGTAGGATTGTCTGTGTGTCTTCTTTACAAATTGGTATACAAATCCTAATCCTGCTGCTCCCGCCACAAATGCAGTTAAGAAGAAACAAATTGAGTCCAATAACTCTAATCTGCCTAATATAGCATATTGCAACGTGTTGGCCGAGGACGTAAAGAATATCATGAAGTTTGCCGTGCTTACTGCAGCAAGAGGAGACAATCCTATCTCGAGAAGAAGAGGGCCCTTTACTAGGCCTCCTCCTATTCCTATTGCCCCCGCCAAGACCCCCGCTAGCATAGACAGCAAAGGGTATACGAACGCAGTTACAGGGGTCAACCAGCCCAGCCCTCCCTCCTCCAACCCTCTACTGCTGCTGCTGCTGCTGCAGGTGATGCCTGTGGTTTGTTCCATGCGGCGGCGGCGGCGAATGAGCCAGCGGGCAAAGAGAAAAGTCCCTAAAACGTGTACAGAGAGCAGAAGATATATGCATGCTTGCTGCTGTTGCGAGCCGCACAGCACTGCGACGGGGCCCCCGGCTAGCAGCAGCAGCAACACATTAACAACAGAATCTGCAGCCAAGTATAAGACACTAATCTTGCATGTCCCACAATAAAACGCTTCTTCCACATCCTTTTCAGAAACAGGTAAAACGGAACAAGTCTCCTGCAAGCCAAATAAACCATCCGAAGACACAAACAATGTCGTGTCTTCTGTCTCCGCCAGCGGCTTCAAAGGGCCCCCAGACGCACACTCCACTGAAGGGGGGTTCCCATGTAGGGGCAAGACCTCAAGGGAAGCACGAGTGTTTGGAGACGAAGAAAAAGAGGCATCAGTAGCTGCTCCTGCCGGTCCTCCTCCTCCTACATCTCTCGGCTTCGTAGGTGGCAGCAACTGCTGCAGTTCTGACCGGTTATCCCCGTATGTCCCCCAGCTGCTGCCGCTGCAGGTGTTGCTGCTGAGGGTTACGTCTTCTGTGTCGCTGCTGCAGGGGGGAGGTTGGTTACCCTGCTGCAGCTGCTGCAAGATTCTTGTTTCTTCTGCTCGCTGAGCAAGGCCTTTCTTGAAGGTTTTGTAGCTCGTAAAAGACAGAGTTAGAACAAGACAAGCAAGAATTTGGAAGTCTGACATTACTACATTCAATAGAACTCCAATTATTGCCCCCAGCAAGGTAAATGGCTCCATTATTGCCGCCAACTCGTAGTTTATAAGAGGGGCCCCAGACTTGGGGTGACGGCGACGGATATTAATTAAAACAGACATCAAACAACCTCCAAATATAGTCACCTTGGAGAGGGGAACAGCCTTGTGTACATCGCCTAAAGACACAACGTAACCCGGCAGGTACAGTGCACCGCCACCCGTTCCCGCACCAGAGGCTAAAGTCGCCGCCACGAAGATAACCGCCATTAAAACTAAACGCCCCACAATCTCCATTTTCTGGGGGTTTTAATGACCCTTTATAGACCCACATACAGCCCAAGGCAAGGGCAAACAGCCTGTAGTCTATGGGCCCACGGCCCGCTGCTCGCTGGCGGCGGCAAGCTCGACAGGAATACAATAAGATCGACAGGAAAAATGCTCAGGTGCAAGCCGCGAAAAAAAATAATTCCTTATATTCCCCTTCTTTCACATTTGCACGTTCGTATTGACCTTAAATACACAAGGAAGGAGCTCTCCGCAAACACCTAAGCCACACATAGGCGAGTGCAGCAGAGCGGCGAGCGGTGTTCAGCTTTTTAAGGGCACTTCTGTGACACACAGAGAGAGAAAATTCATTCCAACTTGCAGAATAACGAATAAGAGACAAAACAAACCAGAGTTTATTGGTGTATACTCCCTTTGAAGTCCTGCAACAACACGAACAGGAGCAACACACGCCTGTCGGCACATCGGGCCTCACGAAGAGCCACAGGCAGCTGCTCAAGCGTCCAGAAGCGCCCCTCCGCTCGTCCGTTTTCTTCCTGCTTCTTTGTTTAGCTTTTTTTTTTGTTGTAGCAAACTAAAGGTATAATGTCCCTCAAATATTCTAAAATGTACTTCTTTCCTCGGAAAGACACTTCACAGCACGCAGCAGGCCGTGCATGCACGGCAGGCAGCCAATGGTCTCCCAGCCCCAACACGGCCTTCAAGAGAGCTGCTGTCCACTGACTGTTACACACTTATTCGAGGATTACGACTTCCGTGACCACCGTCCTGCTGTCGAAATGAACCAACACCTTTTATGGTGTCGCATGAACGAGTATTTAGGCACCTTAACCAGTCGTTAGGACCATCCTTCATCGCCACTTCTGCTTTCCGCATAGAGTTCATTGAGAATACGTCGAAGTCAACGCGCCCCGAGGGTTCTAATCCTTCGCTCTATTTGATATAACTACATGAACTCCCGCCATCAATAAGAAGAGATAATCTTGGGACGAAATCAGCTACTGCACGGTTCGATTAGTCTTCCGCCCATATGCCAAAACGTGCAAACCGTTCGTCAAACTTTGGAGCGTGTATCTCCAAGAAGGCGTGAAGGCTTAAAAGCCAAGATGGTGTGAAGGCTTCAAAGCAAGCCGACACGCCGCAGCCTCAGATCATCAGGCCTAAATACACACAACACACAGGGAAAGAATGATTGTTGCCGACCGTCTCTACTTCTGTCTACGACTGAGAAAAAGAGAACAAACAAAGGGGGGAAAACTTGTGGTAAATCGGAAGGCGAAAAGCAAAGGACACAAGAATAAAATGACAAGGACAAGGGGCGAGGCACAAGGCACGACAAAATGCGAGCACGCAGAGTAAACCAAATTGGTAAAGGTGGCCTGAACTGCCAACCATGAACTCTATGATTAAAGCATTAGCCACGGGTTCACGTTATCCAGAATTCACAGTACCACGGCCTATATACTAACAGAAGGAGGAACGCCTGCAGGTGCATCCAAAACCAGCAAGGCTTGGAAGCCCAACTTGACATAGGAGGGCCTCTACACGTTCCGTACGAAGAGGTTAAGGCGTCTTACATGGCTCGTGGTGTAAACGATTGCAGATGTTTAATGTAAGCTCTCTTTCTCCATGCATTGTTCACAGTGTATATGTAGTGTGTATATATGCATGCCACAGTGTGTATCATCAAGATCATGCCGGGATAAAATCACACAGCTCTTCGCCTTTTTAACAACTGGCGAATTGAAATATTCTGGCACGTTCGGTAGAACAATGTAGAGAAGTATATTTACTATCTGTTAGCCTGTACAACTGTGTCTAATATAGGGCCCAGCGCCTGCGGCAGCTTGCCTGCCATGATAACGCGAAGTAGAGACCGCAGCCTACTTTTGCGTCTTGTCATGTATTGAATCTGCAAGCGTACAGCGCAAACATAGTATGTTTCTGTGTCAGCAATATCACCGGTCTTTCGTCACTTAAGAAATCAAATCAGCTACCAAATAAACAATGACTATACCAAGGTAACTTCAAAAGGCTCCACAGAGGCTCGACGAGCACTGTGGAGCCGAATTTTCCAGCGTGGCAGGTTGGAATAGGTTGTTTCAGTTGCCGCCGAAGGGATCTGTAAGGCAAACGAAATTACTCTCAAAGATTGGTATTTAAAACAGATTCCTTGATGAGAGTAATTATTTTTTCACATACATATGAAAAACAGCTTCTTTAGTTCTAGGTCAACCTATAATAGTGCTTACCCGCTTGATGCAAATTGATTTTCGTTACTTATACCTTGAAAATTTGCTTCGAAACGTAGAGCATTTACTTTGCTTGGTCTTCTCATGTCCACTGCCACATGCGCGCATATGAGACACCACAGGTGTCTTAAGTTCCCTCATGAGGAAGAAGCTACACAGGGCACGCACTACGCTAGCGGTTACCCACAACAGCTCAGAGGAAACAGTGGCAAACACCATACGGGCTTTGCGGAATTAACCGTTGAGCGGCGCAACCAACATTCATTGCAACGAGTTGGCCTCTATATGCCATTCCCTCATTCACTTTAGTAATACTATAATCGTCCACATTAAGCATTCATCCCAGCTGGGTTCCATGTATATCCATTGGTGCTTCACAAGCAATGGGAGGATACCTTAACAGGAAGATATACTGCCTTGAAAAACAGGTTTCTCACATCATGTGTTCAATGTAGCTTCCCCTCTGGGAAGAGGCCGAATACTGAGTTGCTTGGTGTGGTGTTCCTTCCTATTGAGGCAGGTACAAAGAGCGTCGGCCAGGAGTCTCTGTACATATCGGGAAAAAGCATGAAACAGAAGGTTCAGAAAGCAGAACACACCAAGCATGTACTGTTTTCGAACTCATGCCTGTGCGTCTAAACGTGGGATTCAAGAAGAACCAGCGGCAGTAGTGTCTCGACAATTATCAACCCCAGCTTAAGGGGTTGACGCAACGGTGGCAGTACCAGTCAGGGAACACTCAATCCAGGGAACTTGCTATTGTTTTAAAAATGCCTTTGGGTGTACTTTTCACTTCTGCGGCGGAATAGGGGATCATGGACGATGAGAATATTCCTCCAGCGCACGTATTTCCCCTTAGTAGTCAATGGCGTTGCACCAGTGGGTGTAATGCTGTGCTCGTGTGGTCGTCTGATGACCTGCTCCTACAACTGGGATGAAACTTGAGTAGTCGTGGTGATTTCCAACCATGATATAAGCCAGTGTTGCCTTTTTAGTAGAGCTTCCCCAAGTTGGTTTGTCCCTTTCTGACCATGTAGCTTTTCAGGACAAATTGAAGCACAGTAAGTCTGTTGTGAAGTTGTTTCAGTTGCTTTACGCTTTTATGCGTCACACTCACGCAACTGCGACCGCCCTGATCCATAGAAAATCAGCATACAAGCTTTACGACGTTGTGTGCGTCAAACTCGTGCCTGAGCGATCACACAGATCCATAGAAAGCCAGGGACCTGTATCAAACACCAATTTGTGAGAGTACTTTCTTGTATTTCCGTGTGGATAATTATGCTTCCACAGACACATGAAAAACGTCTTAGTTATTTCACAGGCAGCCGATAATAGTGGTTAACCGCCTACTGCAGGCAGCCGATAATAGTGGTTAACCGCCTACTGCAAATGGATGCTTAGCTACTCCTACCTTCAAAATTTGCTGTGGAATGTAGGGTGCTTGCTTTGCTGGGGTTCCTCAGATCAACTGCCGCATGCATGCAACGAGGGTAGACCCAACAAATCCGATGAGCCGCATTTGCGTTCAGTTTTTCCATGACGAGCAAGCTACACAGAACACGCACAGAGCTAGTGGTTAACCAAAACTGCGCCCAAGTGCAAGAGAGCAAGACTTACAAGCTTGCACTGCTTACGAACTTATGCCTGTATCTCTAAGTGACGGATTCAAGAAGATCCAGTGGAAGCACGGACTCGACCATCATCAGCCCCAGTTGTAGGAGTTGTTGCGACGGCGAGCTGCAGCAAATGCAACAAAATACGCTTTGCTTTGCAGCGGACATGCTCCTCTTTTTTTAATGTTTTTCTTTGAACATTTCTCTTCTTAGCCAGCAGTGGATATCATTATTGTCTTCTCTCTACTTGTTGAACACGTTCTGCCATGGTGGTCAATTCGCTGTGCTGCATGTGTATGCAGTTGTCGTTAGTTCTTCCTTTCCTTCTTTAATTTAATTTTGTGAGTAAATATACTTTGTATGAATAAGATGAATCCAGCATACTTAGTTATCCATGGCACCACCCACGTAAGTGGTAGGCTGTGCTCTTCCGGTGGTCTGATGGCGCATTTGTACAAAATGGTGACGCTGCCCCAACATTACACATTGTTGCTAATGCTGTTGCTTATTTAACTTATTTGTTGTTGTGCGTGTTTACAGACCCAATTAAGGCAAAATGAAGGCATCAGAAACAGGAGAAGAGGAGGATCCATCGCTTTTTGTCTGTGAAGGCGAAGGTAAGGTTGTGCTGCATAGGAGCACGCGTAGGACTTAAACGTGGGAATGCCAGGGGTGGTAGGTTTCGATGCAACTGCTCGCGTCATTCGGGGAGTGAGGGGTCAAGGAGCTCTCGAGGTACTGTCGTGTGAGGGAAGTTGGTTGGCGCATTGGGCCAGGCGAGGCGTGAGCGAGGTGACGTAAGCATTCTTCGCAGTGATGCTTTTTTAGAGCAGCGCTGCGCAGAAGTGTTTATGTTGCGTCGCGTTGCAAATGGCGTTGCGTCTCTATTCGGTTTGATAAGACATAAGACATTTGGCCTTGTGGTCATGGATATTTCACCTGTGCGACAGGGAAGTCTGTTGGTTGCGAGGATGGCTGGGAGCGAAAGTTTGTTAGTGCTCTGGGGTACAATAGGTCTGCTCCGAGCATTCCTGATATCCCCTAAAGAGGCTGATTTTGGGTTGTTGGCAAGTTGTTGGTGTTGTATTGGTGTGTTCTGCGGAGAGTTAGGAGAGGAAAGCAAAGTGCGCTGCGAGTACTA